ACTGCTTCCAACGTGCAAAACCCTGGCCCTAAACCCTAAAAACCCTATACCCTCTAAGCCCTCAACCCTACAAGCCCTAAAACCTGTTTCTTGTCAAGCGCTGCAGGAGCTCAGCGCTACGCGCGCCTGGGTCCTTGCCCGGAGGCCTCCGGGCAAGGAGCTTTCCCGGGTTGCACGTCACTTGGTTTAGGGCTTAGGGCTTAGGGTTCAGAATGTTGGGTGAGGAATTTAGGTTTCAGGGTTTAGGGTTGAGGGTTTCGTGTTGAATTTGGGTTGAGGGCTACAATTGCCTGGGTGTGTTGGCTTGATCCATGCGTCAGACCAGCTACCAAGCTGCCCAAATGTAGCCCTTCTGCGAGCAGCAGCCCAACACAAGCTCAGCAATAATTGGCAATAATCCTGCTTGTAGATTCATGGGTAGTGATGAGCAGGGTTCTGAGTTTGGCAACTATACTTATAGCCCTATACTTAGAAGTACCCATGAACCTCCAAGTGCACAATCCTAAACCCTGAAACCCTCCTTGGGGATCACATGAACCTTGGAAGGGTTTATGGTTCATACTAGATGTGTTGGTATTAAGGTAACAGCGGGTATGTGACCCCCAAGTTGAGGGTTCATGTGGTGCCCAAGGCTGTCAACAAAAGCAACCGTCTGTGGGGGCATGTGATTTTAGGGGGGTGTATATAGGGGGGTTAAACCCTAAACCCTGAACCCTAAACCCTAAACCCTAAACCCTATTAGCCCTAAACGATTACAGCGGGAGCCGGTCGAGGTGCGCGCTCCTTGGCCCAGCCGCGGGCGCCGTGGCGGTGGTCCAGCACAAGGCTCAGGTCTTCCCAGGCCGGCGGTTCAGCGTTTTTGTTTGCGTGTTTTTTTTTTGTTTCCGCGGTTAGGGTTTAGGGTTTGGGGTTTGGGGTTTGGGGTTTGGGGTTTGGGGTTTGGGGCGTTTAGGGTATTCCACTTGCAGTCTTGTGAGGGAGAACGGACGCGGTGGAACACAGGTCTGCTCAAAGATGTCAGGAACAGCTGCAGGCCCTGCACAGTGTTTTGGGTTTCTGTCGTCGGTGCACCTTCCTAAGCCCTAAACCCTAAACCCTAAAACATCCCGAGCAATGTGGCCTGAGTGTCAGCTAGGCGGGTGGCAACAAAAAAAACATCCCGAGTTCTAGTCCAAAATCGAGCCGCGGAGCTCGGTGAGGCTCACTAGAGTGACAAGCCTGTTGCAGCAAGGGTTGAGGGTATTGCCCTCAGGGTCCATGTATCTAAGTAGGGTATACTTGGGCCTTACGGGTACCTTCTACATAAGGGCCTTCGCGCCCAAGTATGTAATAATAAGGTACATGGACCCTCGGGGTTGTAAAGTCCTCTCCAACCCCAAGTGTTACCCCTTGCACCCTGGTAAGACGCAGCCCGCAAGTGACAATTATCATAAGGATCAGTTTAGGGTTCAGGGTTTACCTAAAGGCTCCTATGTAGTACTTTTTTGGGGTAGTATACTAGAAGCCCCGAAAAATAAAACCAAAAAGGAACTACATTGGAGCCTTCAGGTAGTGTTTAGGGTTTGGGATTAGGGATTAGGGTTTAGGGTGCAAAAGGGTTTAGGGTCATGAGTTTTCGGCATGCGGCATGCGATGATGGCCGTGATTGTTTTTGTTAGTACTACAGTGGCTTCATTGTTTTTCTTCTTGTTGTGATTCTCTGCTATTGCTGACGTTCTTGTTGCTTTTGTTGTTGCAGTTTCAAGTTTCCTGGGTTGCTGTTTTGGGGCCGAAAATGCTTGAATCGGTTGGACGTGGAGTATGTCGCAAAGCAACTAACCGCTGAGTTGTTTGGAAATCTGGGGGTCGGTCCCCCCCCCCCGCCCCCCCCCCCAAGTACAGCAGTCGATTGTTGCGGAGCGATGTAGAGCTCGTAGGGAGTTTAGGCTTAGGGCCTTCCAAGACCGTACTCCCTATATAAACCCTCAACCCTTCTGACCGAGACCTGTCTACGGGTAGTTACATGGGGCCTTCACATGGTCCATTACCTCCCTTAAAGGGTTCTGATGTACAGGCCCTTGGGTTGTTTTGGGTATATAATAAGGGGGAAGTAAGGGGAGGGCCCCTACTAAGGGACCATGTAACTACCCCTAAATCCCTAAACCCTAAAGTAGCCTGTAGTATCACGACAGACCTTGTGGACCTGCCAACCGACCCCTTGCCGGCCTTGTGCGAGTGTGAGAGTCGAAGCCCTAAACCCTAAACCCTAAACCCCAAACCCTAAACCCTAAACCCTAAACCCTAAACCCTAAACCCTAACCCCTAACCCCTGAGATCCTGAAGGTCCGGGCCTTTTCGACCGCATCATTTGTGACGTACCCTGCAGCGGCGACGGCACCATGCGGAAGCACCCGGAGAAGTGGCGATCCTGGAGTGCCTTTGCAAAAAGCATCCTTGGTTTGGGGTTTGGGGTGTAGGGTTCAGGGTTCAGGGTTCAGGGTCTAGGGTCTAGGGTCTATAAGGGTTTAGGGTTTAGGGTCCTAGCCGTAAAAAAGGGTTTAGGTGTCCCAAAAATGACAGATCCGAGAGCTTTAAAAGGAGCTTATGGCCCATGCATCCCGATTATGATCTTTAGGTACATGAGATGCCCTTTTCTACCCTATTCAACCCAAGGGCAGACCCTTCAGCCTCTTGAATTCGCTGAACTCCCCTTACCCTAAATCCAACTGCCTATCCCTAAAACCTAAACCCTCGAATTTAAAAAACGACATGAACCTAAACCCCCTAACCCTAACTCCTGACGTCCCTGAACCCCTTGAGCACCCCTTGACAATCATACGGGGACGCTGGAGGTCCGCACCTTGGCCGGGAACTCCATGCCCGACAGCTGCAAATTGCCATGCGCGGCCGCTGTGGCTTTGAGGTTGAGGAGGCTTTGCGAGGTTTGGCTGGGGAGTCTCAGGGATATGCGAGGTTTGGTTGGGGAGGTTTAGGGAGGTTTTGGTTGGGGAGGTTTGGGAGGTTCCTCTTTCCCATCTTTCGTTCTTCTCCACGTCTGAGGTTTTCCGGACAGTCCTTTTTTGACGTCGATGTCGCTGGTTGGGCTGTCGGCTGTCCATTCTCAGGTCTAGCGCTCCTGCGCGTGGGTGGTCAGATGACGCCTCTCAGTGGACAATTCAGCCACGCATGTTTGTTTTGGTTCAAAGTATTGCCCAAACTAAGGGTTGATGGCTAATCGAGAGCACAGGGTCTATGACCCCAATGCTAGGCTTCATTCGACTTCATTGGTCTGCAAAGGTTCTATTCCCCCCGTAGTTGAAAGCAGCGGCACCGGACGTCAGGCCGCTGCCAATCCCAAAGGAGGATCGGCCGGAACTATTGAATTCCTTGTCTTTTGATTGGAACCCCCCCTCCCCCCCCCCCCCGCCCGCCGCAGCACATCTTCGAGGAAGTCTGAAGCTTGTTTGCCCAAGTAGCCATGGAAGCTGCACTCCCCAGACTCGAGGAAAGGGGGGGGGGCTTTGGCCATGAGCTTCAGGTACAGCACCTGCTCCTTCAACCCTCTGGAGAACGAGGCAGAAGGGGGTTTAGGGTTTAGGGTTTATGGTTTGGGCGGGGGAGCCCGAAACCTTGAATCCTGCAAGCACAGCAACAGTAGGATGTTGAAGGGAAGTATTGTGGGTGGGGGTGGGGTTGCTTAGGTGTCTTTTTTCTTCTTGGATGCTTGATCTTGATGCTTGCTTCTTCCTAGTGAGTACGACCTAAACCTAAACCCTAAACCCTAAACCCTAAACCCTATGAAGACCCATGCATGGCCCCTAGAGCTGCCTAGAAGCTGTGGGCTATAAGCCTTATGGATCCCAGAACCGTTGTGGGCTGAGTCAAGCTAAGAGGCCCCGTGATGTTCTGGGATTCCATGAACCAAGAATCACATGACGCCTCAAATGGCCCCCAATACGCCACGACCTGGTCTAACCAGTACTGAAAAAGCGCCGCCCGGGGGCGAGCGTGAGAGAGAGAGAGAGAGAGCTGTTGAAACGTCGGGTCCTGATGGCCCGGAGAACCCCTGTGTTCTCAGCCAAACCACCGATTGGACCCGAAACCTTCCAAAGGCATTCTCAACCCCCCAAACTCCTTCGTTTGAGGGTTTAGGGTTTAGCGTTTAGGGACCCCAAGCCCTACTTCCGACTGTAGGCTGTCGTGGCCAGCCTCCTCCACCGTACCGATGGCGCTGTGGTGCTCAAGCGGCCGCAGTCGCTTCAGGGGTCCCCTGCTGTGTGGGGGGATTTGGGTGGCAGCTGGGAGGGGTATACCTTATACCTTCACAGGTACCCCTTACTATGGATACATTGCCATAAGTATACATACGTATATATATATATATATGTATACATATGTATACATACATCTATGTACATATATATATATATGAGAGTGAGAGAAGGCCCCTTAGAGTCTCTTGTGCGTCTCGTAGCGGTTATGCGCATCTAGTTGATTCATGCTCGAAACGTTTCAAAGTTTCAGCAGCGGACGAAGATGAACAGATAACAGCCCCTGGCAAACAAAGTGTTTATGCACGCGGGACATAACTAGTTAACATTAAGCGCTCGAGTTTTGCAGTGCCTACGATATGTGTCTAGATAAGTAAGTATGCGAAACATCTTTGTATCTCTGTTTATGGTATCTGCGCTTTTGCGACAAGCAAAACACACCAAAAATGTCTCTGCCACACATCGATGTGTATGTATATATAGACACATATGTATATTCAGACATATAGTGGTGTTGATGTACTACATGTTTCGTTGTTATGCAAGTAAAAAAAGTGGAAAAGGTGCCACTCCTCAAGTGCTGGGTCCATTTCCCAATTCGCCCCTTTTGGAGGTACAAGCTTCCTTCTAGGTACTGAAGGGCTTTGAAGTGTGCTAAGCAGTAGTAGTTACAAGTAGGGTTAGATGTATGGTACTTGGGGTACTTACACAACTCTATTTATAGGTACCAACCTCCATGGCTTTGGGTCCCTCTGGGCCTTAAAAGGCCCTAGGCCCGTGCCAACTCTGGTGTTGAGGTTGCCGGTGCGGCCTGGATTGCAACACTGGGAGGCCCCACGGCGCCAAAAATGAGGGTTCAGGGTTTAGGGTTTAGGGTTTAGGGCGATGTTCCAACCGTTCCCGCGACCATCCTCCACCCTAAACCCTAAAGCCTTATCCACTATTGGCTTAAGAACCCCAAACAGGTTAAAGAAAATAATCCCTGCATGACCCTTATAAGGAACCATATGTTCAATTCTGGGGGGGGTTCTGAAGCACACGTAGCAAGTGAGAATGGAGTTTCGGTTTGTTGTTTTTGTTTCAAGCGTTTCAGGGAAGTTAGGGTTGAGCGGCTCAGGTTGTGGTAGTGGTTTGAAGCTTGGGGCCCCTACTGCCATGCTCAGAGGTCGTTTGGAGTACGTACCCTAAACCCTAAGCCCGACCTTGCGGGCCACATGAACCCTAGGACAAGTTGGCGTCATGTACCCTTACTACTAGTTCCTGTTAAGGCATATGAACCACTGACCCTGTTAGGGTTTGTTTGGTCCGCAGTAGGGAGACCCTAAACCGTTTGCTTTGCTTGCCGGCGCGCGAGCGTAAGAGTCGAAGCCCTAACACCCTAAACCCTAAACCCTAAACCCTAAACCCTAAACCCTAAACCCTAAACCCTAAACCCTAAACCCTAAACCCTAAACCCTAAACCCTAAACCCTTACCCTACATCCTCTGGGAGGTCGTGGATGAATCCGTAGGGTTGCTGACCACCTATGACGACATCCTCCGTCACCCGATGGCAGCTTCTGATATTGAACCACCCCAAAATTGGGGGTTTATGTTGTCCCGAAGTATGTTGTTTTTCCTTCCTTTCGAATCACACTTGGCGCTCAAGTGCTTGCATATGATATACGTGCGTATGTGCCAAGAGCTTATCCCCCACCGCTATTGTCCGATGCAGAGAAACCGTCTCTTGTGTAGCTGGGGTGGGTTTTTTTCGGGAGCATCAGCCTTGAGGGACCGAGCGTGTGTGCCAGGATCAGCTAGAGCCTAAACCTGCTCTTTCCCTGGCCTCCCCCGTGCGAGCATCAGCGTCCCAAACCCCAGACCTCCGGCATCCTCATACCCTATAATACCCTAAACCCTATAAACCCCTAAATCCCCCCGTCCGCCCCCCAACAATCCCACCGAGGCCTGCCCAAGATGTTACGACGCCGGTACCGCCGCTCCATGTGGCCGCCAAAGAATGCGAAGGAGCAGAGCACGTATTTCAGGGGGTCCACCCGGAATCTAAGGGTTTAGGGTTTAGGGTTTAAGACCACGTAACTGCCCTTAGAAGGAAGCATCCCCCTCCACAATATGTTGACCCGGGCTGTCTCGTGGGCACAATGCTGATAGGGCTTAGGGGCTCTTGAGTTTCCAGTCCCTAAACCCTAAAGCCTGGGCCCTTTTTTTAAAGGCTTTAGGGTTTAGGGTTTTGGGCTTGCGTTCCCCCGAGCCCGGCTGCCGAAGAAGAAGCGAATCCTGCTTCGGGGGAAGTTCCGGGCGTGTGGGCTTGTGGGTTTCTAGGTTTGTGGGGGTTTAGGGTTTAGGGTATGGGGCTTACTTCTAGTCCTTCCTCATGAACCGCTTGAGGGCGGACACATGTTTATGAGTTTTTGGGGCTGGGGCTTAGGGACGGGTGGCAAGACAAGCCCGAAACCCTAAACCCTGGACCCTGGACCCTAAAACTTAAGCCCCAAACAAATGGCTTCCGTAGCCGCCGCAGAGGACCTGAATCTCCAGCGGTGCGACTGGGGCCGCAGACAAGAAGGGGTTGGGGTTTCGGGTCAAGGCCCTTCTAGGTTCCCAAAAGATTTAGGGGCCATACTGCTCGCAGGTATTTGCGACCCAAAAAGGGGCTCCTAATTTGTAGGGAACTTGCTCGGATTGTGGTGATGGCGAGACATTGGGGGCGAACTGAGCCCGAATTGGGACTAGATACCCTATAATTCCCGCATACCAGAACGCGTTCGAGCGCGTCTGCTGCTGGTCTAATCATGCACCCCCTTCTGGAACCCTTAAACTGCGAGGATGTTATGATATTGCTAATATCACCGAGACTGATAATTAGTCGAATAGAGACATGTGAAGAGAATCTTGGCGCGAGATTTCGACCGTCCCAAACCAAAGTGAACCCCCAAATTGGGATCACATGCCCTGTGTTGCGATAATGTCTGTGGGTAGGAGATATGGACCATATATGCCAATTTGGGTACATCTAGTCCGCAGGAATGTCCCTCCCTCAAATGCACCTTTCAGTGCCTTTCAGACTTCTTCGAGCGAACTTCAGCCTTCAAGGTCTGCAGAATTTCTTGAAACCGTGGCCCAAGCACGCCTAGCGAAAACCCCGCAGAGGCACATGCTATCAGAAAAGATATTAATATATCATCTCATGTCCTTGCAAAGACTGCAACCGCAAATCCCGCCCCATTTTTGTCCTCAAGGTTTTTGGGCAGGAGCATGCATGCGTGAGGTGTGCGGTGCGTGCCTTTCCTGGCGAACACCGGCGGCTTCTTCGTGGCGGTTCTCGCCAAAGTGCGAGAGTGGCCGGCCCCCGGCGAGCCCCTGCAATCATCGGCATCGGAGGCATCCTTCTGAGGTCTGACTGAGGCTCTGACCGTAGGAACCACATGAATCCTAAAATCATAGGGCTCATATACCCTATAAATGCCCCATACACTTAGCATAAACTTCCTGATCTTCAATGATCCCGCATGAACTTTATGGGCCAGGAAGGGCAGGTGCAGGCATGCCACGTTTCGGGACCTCCTTGGGGGGGGGGGGGGGCCAACTGAACCCTACCTCATACTACTATGGTGCCTGTTAAGGTATCATGAACCATACAATTTTAGATGCCTTATACTACCATAATACCTATTAAGGTAACATCTGTACTACTATCATTCCTATTGAGGTAGTATGCACCATAAACCCTGTTAGGCTTCATTAGGTCCCCAACCCACTGCATGCCTCCATTCTCACCATTGATCTAGCTTGGGAACCAAATGAGGCTAAAATTGTTTATGGTTCATCTACCCTACTAGGAAGCTTTTTAGTATAAGGTATATAAGGGTTTGTGGTTCATATACCATAATCTGAAGGAAGTTTAGAAGTAGAAGGAAAATGAATCCCCCCCATTTTTCAGGGCTCATTCGGTCCGCAAGGCAGGGTAGCCTCTGGGAAAGGCATACGCCGGAGTCGCTCGCAACGAGCCTGCGGCGACGCTGTCACAAGTGCTGCCCGAGGCCCATGGGACTTGTGGGCGAAGTAATGGGGGTCCACATGCAGTTACCGTGGCGCTTGGAACATCTGGGTGGTTGTCACGGTCCCTTTTTGGATCCCTAGTATAACAGGGCACCTAATATTTAGTGTACCCCCAAAGGGATCATAATTTTGACAGCCACCCTTGTAGATTGGATGGCATCTCTTGGGACAGTCATCTCCCGGAGATCGCAAGATAAAACCCTTTCCTTTAGGGTTTAGGGTTTAGGGTTTAGGCTCCTGTCGGTGCTTCTGGGCCAGAAGCGCCAGGAGACTGCTACCTACCTTGTACTACGACAATTCCTATTCAGGCACATGAACCATAAGCCCTTTTAGGGTTCATCTGGTCCCCAAGGTTTCCCCCCCCCCCCCCCAACGCCTATACCCGTCTGAGCTTTGTACGATTGCCCTCTCGAAAGCCTTCATAAACTCTGCCCTCCTTCTCAATAAGCATGCCCATGAGGTTGGTCCCTTACCTTCTTTAAAGGATTCTGAAGTATGGGCCCTTGAGTTTTCTAGGGTATATAAGGCGCTTTTCTTTTAAGGGGTCCCCTTTCAAGGGCCCATACTAAGGGACCATGTAACTACCCTTCGATGACAGGGACTTGCACGGCGGACCGGCATGGCAGCACTGGAGAGGGGCTTCATCCTAGCACGCGGAGCGCGGACGCCGGGCGCAAACCTGGTGGTATTGGAGACTCTTAGGGCTTAGGGTTTAGGGTTTAGGGCCCTAACCCTGAACACTATACCCTAAGCTTATATAGCCTAAGCATCGGGATGCTATGAAAAATGGCACCTTGGTGGGTTCCGTGAATCTGCTGCATCAATTGAAGATGCATGCCCCAGCCCCCCAACCCCCCTGTGCCAGTTTCCTAAGATTCTAAAAGATGGATGTTGGGTTTTCTAAGGTTGGAACCATGGGCCCTTAGTAGGATCCCTTCCCTTGTTTATAGGGATCTGACGTATGGGTCCTAATTACGTATAGTGTATATAGAAGGGTTATAGAACAAGGGACCCAAACTACTTGGAATGCTAGACCTAGGGCTTCTGGGCTCTAGTTGGTGGCCCTGTGGTGTGCGGCAAGCAAAAAAGCCCTAAGAAACCCTCAGAGAAAAAACCCTGATACCCTTAACCCAAGACCTAAAACCCAAAAACCAGAAAGCCCCCCAAAACCCTCAGAAACTCAACGCCCAAAGCTCCAAACCCCTACGGAGGGCCCTCTAGACCCTATGCCTAAAAACAACACCTAAACCCTAAACCCCAAACCCCAAACCCAGAACATTCTTGACGCTAATCATTATATTGATCTTGATATCACCAAAGTTCCTCACGTTGCTTGTCCTGAGTGGAAGCACCAGGGCATGGCGTGCCACTTTTGCCATGCTCGGTTTAATTTCCTGACTAAATCCGAAAAATTCCTTCGAAAATGCCATAAACCCTCAAAGCTGTCTCAGCGAGAGACAAACGCTTGGTTGGGAGTCCTAGAAGAACAGTGTGCAAAATTGAATGACATCATCACCAAACTGGAAGCATGATATGCCACACATGCTGATTAAAGCATCAGCCGTCTCACTTATATTGATCGCATTGACTTCAAGTCCGTGTCAACCCCAAACCCCAAACCCCAAACTCCAAACCCCAAACCCTAAACCCTAAACCCTAAACCCCACCCAAATGGCGTCCCAGGAAGCTCTTTTACTGCACTCCGAGCCTGGACTCGGCTCTTCGCGTGCCCAGGCACGCCCTGGCCCTTTGAGGAAGGAGCTTAGGGTTTAGGGTTTAGGGTTTAGGGTTTAGGCCCTTTCTCAATATACCTCAAAATTATACAGGGATCCTTCATATGGTTTGAGATACATAGTCCTTAATTAGGGGAGGGGGGGGGTATAACTGTATTGGGCTGTTTGCGTTCTTTTGAAGTTCATCTTGGCCCCCCCAAAAAACGAATGTCAGAAATGCCCTAAACCCGAAACCCTAAACCCTCAACCCAAACCCCGCAGCAGCTCGAAGGCGCAAGCCCCTGTCGCTTGTGGCCGCTGGCGCCTGTTTGGCGCAGGTCGAGGGCGATGAATGGCGGCTCACACCATCAGGTGCGGAGGTTTAGGTCCTTGAGGACCAGATGAAACCTTAAAGGGTTCATGGACTTGTAGTAGTATGCATCCTCAAAGGGGTCTATGGTTCATCTACCTGAATAGGAATTGTCGTAGCATCGGGCAGACTTACGTGACGCCAATTTTTAGGTTTCTTTTTTTGTCCTCAAGGATGGTTTAGGGTTTAGCTCAGATCGGAGCGCTTCATGGGATGTCCATGCGTGTGTGGAATGGGGTCGTGGGCTCTACGTCGCGACGCTGCTGTCCAACATCTCAAGACGGAGTCTTCCTACTGTACGAGGCGAGCAGCTTTCGGGCGCCACCCTGCAAAGGAAGTTGGAAACTTCTAAGGCCTCTAGCACATCCCTGAACCCGAAACTCGAACCCTACTGGACCCAGAGTGGGTCCTGAGCACCCTTTGTTTAGGGTTTAGCTTCAAAAAGGGTGCCCTCTTTATCACTAACCTCTAAACCCTACACCCTAAACCCTCTATCAGGCCTGGAGATCTTCAGCCGGATGTCTGGTCGCAAGGCTGAGGCCAACGTCCGGGCAGCGCAGAAGCATCTGGAGTCGCACCGGTGCCTCGACAATCGTCGGATCTTTCTGGCTGTTTAGGGTTTAGGGTTTAGGGTTAAGGGTTAAGGGTTAGGGTTTAGGGTTCAGGGCAAGCGACATTGTTGGGGACGACATGAACCCTACAAGGGGTTATGGCTTAGATACATGAGAATGGGCATTTGTAGTCGTGTAGGGTATGCGACCCCAACTTTTTGGGGTTCACAAGGTACCCCAAACCCAGCACAAGAACCCCCAAAAAGGGACTCGTTCTTCAGAGAGGGGGCCTTCGCCCGTTCGCAGCGTGGACTAGATTCTTAGATGTGCCCTGAGACAGTTTGTGCCCACCATCTAACATACCCGTTCTGTAGGGACTATACTGGCACAGGGAATATGATCCCAATGTTAGGGCTCGTTTGGTCCTTTATATAAGGCAGGCAATGGGTTGGCTCTGCAAGTAGTTTTCGGGCCGTGTTTTTTCGCAGGCTCAAGTCTTTGGTCCGAGCTGCTTACGGCCCTAAACCTAAACCCTAAACCCTGGCCCTGAACCCTAAACCCTAACACCCCCCCCCCCCCCCCCCGAAAACACTGGTTCGCTATGGCCAAGTACGTTTGGGTTGGGGATGTTCGTTGAGGCTCAGAGCCAGGGCACCCATCAATCTCAAACCCTGCTAGCGTAGAAACCCGCACCAAACACCGTGGTTATACTATACTATACTATACTGTATTATATTGTATCATATTATCTTATGATATATTTTATTTGTTTTTAATAGTATGATATATTTCATACACACCAGCTCCAGGTGCACGAGTTGTGGTGAGGATCGGCCTGCCAGCGCCTTCTCAAGGTTGGACAGGTTTAGGGGTTTTAGGGGTGTTAGGGGGTTTAGGGGGTTTAGGGGATTTAGGGGGTTTTGGGGGGTTTGGGGGGGTTTAGGGGGTTTAGGGGGTTTAGGGTCACCAGGGTGTCAATGGGGCTCCGAATGCAGGGAATGTTGCCGAATGCGCTTCGTTTCGTATGTGTTGTCTAGGGTCAGGGGGTTTTAGGGTTGTTCTTGCTAATGATAAACAACCACACGTCACACGTTGCCCGGCTCTGCTCGACTTCTGGCCTATACCCCAAGAATACCGCACTTCTGAAACTTCCGCAACCCGCACGCTTCCAGAAAGGCCCGTTGGTTTCCTGTCAGAGGGCCCCTTTTGCTTTTCAAGGATCGTATCCTTGCGGCCTGTCGCCCCCATACTCCACCGCGAGCTTGTTCTACATTCGAAGTCCTCCCCTTGAGGATGGGCAAATCAAATTCCTACAAGGGGCCCTTTCCCGAAACAAATCCTCGTGGCCCTTGCCAGGAAGATGCTCACGCGTCCACCGACCAAAAGAAAGTGCAGCGACTGCGTGCAGCAAAAGAAACGTGCTCTATGCAAGGACACACTAGGGCTTCATACGCGTCAGCAGTACCCGCCCCCCCCCCCTCCGGGTTCATGGTGGGTTTTGGACTCAGGGTTGAGGGGTTAGGCTGTAGGGTGTGGGATTTTAGAGGTTAGGCTGTAGGGTTTAGGGCCAGGGTTTTCACTCTGACTCCCCCCGCCATGGTTCATGGTGTTAGGTTTCAGGGCAAAGTATTCTGGAGTTTCTGCGGTTCGTGGTGGGTTTAGGGTTCGCTTTAGGGTTCAGGGTTGAGGGTTAAGGTTTCGGGTTTCTGTTTTCTTACCCTGTGTCTCGTGATGGGCTTAGGTTTTAATTAGCGTTTAGGGATTTGGCTTGGGTTTCGGTTTAGGGTTTCCCCTCTCCGGGCCCTCTCCCCCCCCCCCCCCCGGAGGTTTGTGGTGGGTTTAGGGTTATATACAGTCAGGGCTTGCCATCGAGAAGGGGTGCCAGAACACGAAGCGCGGACGCATGTAGGGCCTATCGCAAAGTGAGGCACGGCGTCGTGCTGCAACATCTTGAGCCAGCCATTGGACTTGTGCCCTAAACTGGTTCAACACAAGCCTAAACCCTAAGCTGCAGCTCTGTGCCGAAAGCCTCGCAGTAGCGTTATGTTGCGTGAGTCGATTCAACCACGCAGTAGCAGCCTGGGTCAGCGACAAGAACTTGGATTGTCACCGTAGTAAAGTAGTGTCGATGGTACTACGCACTTTGTTACAGCACCACGGCGTCCAGGCATACAAGCAAGCACTAGGCCCCACTAGGCCACTAGACACTGATGGGCACGTTCTTCCAAGGCGCTGATGCACCAGGTCCACCACCGCTGTGCCACCCCCCACCTCTCGTCGAATTGTCTCCGGAGCACTACAGTGACCTTCTCACGGGTCAGGTGAAGTGCTGGTTCGAGGATCGCGGGTTCGGATTCATCACGCCGGAAGGCGGAGCGGAGGATGTTTTCGTTCACAAGTCGGTGCTTAAGGATGGGCAAAGCCTCATTGTGGACAGTTCCGTCATGTTCGACCTCACCTATGATCCAGACCGACGACGCTTCCAGGCCACGCGCTGCTTCGGCGCAACCTTGCCTCCAGATGAGGTTAGCCAAAGTCGGGTACCCCGCAAGGGGCCCTTCTGCTTGACCGATCCGTGGGAGGCGCTGTATTCCACATGTGGTGCGGAACACCTCCGGATAAACCCGCATGGCTTGGTTTCCGTGCCGAAGGCAGCCGCCTCTGTCAAACCTGCAAGCGAAACCGCTGCCTCACGTGCTGAAGATGCTGTTGATGCTGAGCTCCCTGCCGCCCCCAAAGAGAAGGCGAAGAAGGAATCAAAAGCAACCTCGATTTATGACTTCTTCCAGGATGATGAGCAGATGCTGTGACCGAGCAGCAGGCTTACTGGTCATTGAGGATCCTTACAAAGAAGGGACAGCGTTCCCCAGACAACCTCTGCTTCATTGGGATACGCATCCTGTACAAAGTCCGCGTCGGAATTGCGGAAAGAAAAGAGAGAGAGGCTGCAGATCTCGGACGCCTTTGTTTAGGGTTTAGGGCTTAGGTTTTAGGGTTTAGGGTTAGAAAGAATCCGGCCAAGGTGTGATTCTCAAGCGCGCTAGGGTCTGGGCGACAACTGTAGATTGCGCGTTGCGAAGGAGGTGTTGTGCTGCCAGTGGCTTTCGGAATCGTTTTCGGTGGCTCAGGGTCTCCTAAACCCTAAACCCTAAACCCTAATTCCGTACGTTGAGCTAAACAGAGCTCAACAGGGGTTGAAGGGGCTTAGGGCTTACGAATGTGAGCCTCAGGAGTGTTTCCCGACTCAGGCAGTTGCATAGCGCGGGTTCAAAAAGAGGTGTGTTGCGGGCTCGCATTTTGGCAAGCCCCGGGCAGTAAGGTCCCCTGCGAAGCAACCCGACATGGCGGGCGTCCGGGGCCTGGACTTTCTGGTGAGATGATGGAGGGTTCTGGCTCTACGTAAGTTGTGGGCTCTCTTTTTTGGTAGCTGTCAAAGAAGTAGCCGAAATTCTGAGAAAGATACAGGAAGAGAGACCCCATCCCAACGCTAAACCCTAAACCCTATTACCCCACCCCCCCCCGCAAAAAAAAGAGAAACAAACACAAAAACACAAACACACAGATAGACAGATAGACAGACAGACACAGACAGACACAGACAGACGCAGACAGACAGAGACAGACAGAGACAGACAGAGACAGACAGAGACAGACAGACAGACAGACAGACAGACAGACAGAGAGAGAGAGAGCCACATCAAAAAAAGAAACCATACCTCCGGCTCTCATCGCCAGACAGTAGTCTTTCTAGCCCGAAGCTCGCAAGAATTCGAGCATTCTATGCCTTAAGGCACCCTACAACAAAAGACATTATAGAGAGAGAGAGAGAGCAAACATCTATCTATCTATCTATATATATATATACATGCGTACGTGTATATATGTGTGCATATGCAGATTAATATACAAAGCTCCGGACTCCACCATCATTTGGGAGAGCCTCCGAAGTAGACCAAGGAAACCCAGTAGAAGCCAGGAGGGGCCAAAGGGGAGGTTGAACCCCCCCCCACCACCCTAGGGGTTTGCTGGTTTCGCGATACTAAGTGAGATGATACGTTAGGGTTTGCTGGTTTGGGGAAACTAAGTAAGATGAGAGAATCACAACAACGATCTTGGCTGGGGCTTTTCTAGGTTCACGGGCAGGTAAACCCTGAGAGCCTTGACAGCTGAAACCCCGAACGCCCTAAAGAGTTCAGGATTTAGGATTAAATGGGGTTTAGGGTTTAGGGCTTAGGGTTTGCAACCAGACTTGGTTCAAAAAGGGTTTAGGCAACCCAAAATGCCAAACCCTAAGCCCTCAGGCGGGCGACTTCCCCGTGGAAGGTGAGTTCAGGCCTCAGGCTTTGAAGAGCCGCGGTTTCCTGATGTGTGGGACGCTTGGGGACCAGATGAACCCTGGAAGGGTTTACGGTTCATCTACCTCAATATAGGAATTCTCGTGGTATAGTGCATGACCCCGATTCTAGGGGAGAAGGGAAAGGGCGGGAAAGGTTGAGGGCTTAGGGTTCCTGGGAGCAACGGGCATTCTGTGATTTTGCCGGAATCCTCGTTGCAAAAGGGCTTTGGCGGGCGGAGGGGGGCGGTTGATCTAGCAACGATTCGAAAGTGCAGGGTACAGTGGTGCCAAGCCTTGGATTCAATGTTTAGGATGCAGTTTGTGGTTTCCTGATGTTCCCGTGCTTCAGGGATTGTAGCATAAGGGATTCCGCAGGGTTTTGGATGTATACAAGACCTGGCACCTTTCTTCGAGTGCTGAAGCCTTTTCTGTTGGGATTGCGGTGCGGTCGAGGAGCCTTAGTCAACTTTGCCAGCTGTGGAATGTCGAGGTTCCGCAGCGGTACCCTTTTTTCTTCTTTTTTTTTTTTTTTGGGGGGGGGGGGGGGGGGGGGGCGGGTCCGTGTTGTGAACCCCATTGAGCAAGAACGATGGGTTTCCCTTCTCTTTTGCTAGGTCACTTGTTGGTTCGAATTGCCGAAATCCTATCAGCTGCTAGCCCCTCTAACCCTACAGAAATCAACTAGGTATATTCTTGAAAATTCGTGGCCCGACTATAATCCGCATAAACGACTGTTAGTAGGGGGCCCCCGAAACGATGGCCGAGGACGGAGACGCCTCGCTCCGCCAGCCCCTCTGCGGCCAGCCGGTCTCCGGCCCACACCGCCCAAGAGGTGACCGGCGCTTGATGGTATATGGAGATAGAAAAATCATGCAGATCATAAGAAGACTCATCAGAGTAATAATATGTATACAGAAAAATCTATAGATCAACAGAACACTCATAATGGCAATGTATGTATATAAAAAATCCTATACATCATGAGCACAATCAGAATATAGTAGTAGTAGTAGTAGTAGTAGTAGTAGTAGTAGTAGTAGTAGTAGTAGTAGTAGTAGTAGTAGTAGTAGTAGTAGTAGTAGTAGTAGTAGTAGTAGTAGTAGTAGTAGTAGTAGTAGTAGGTAGTAGTAGTAGTAGTAGTAGTAGTAGTAGTAGTAGTAGTAGTAGTAGTAGTAGTAGTAGTAGTAGTAGTAGTAGTGGTAGTAGTAGTAGTGGTAGTGGTAGTGGTAGTGGTAGTAGTAGTAGTAGTAGTAGTAGTAGTAGTAGTAGTAGTAGTAGTAGTAGTAGTAGTAGTAGTAGTAGTAGTAGGAGTAGGAGTAGCAGTAGTAGCAGTAGTAGTAGTAGTAGTAGTAGTAGTAGGAGTAGGAGTAGGAGTAGGAGTAGGAGTAGCAGTAGTAGCAGCAGTAGTAGTAGTAGTAGTAGTAGTAGTAGTAGTAGTAGTCGTCGTGGTGGTGGTGGTGGTAGTAGTAGTAGCAGTAGTAGTAGTAGTAGTAGTCGTCGTGGTGGTGGTGGTGGTAGTAGTAGTAGCAGTAGTAGTAGTAGTAGTAGTAGTAGTAGTAATCATATTGGATCAGTCAGGGCCATCGATGTGCGCCTTTCAGGGGGGTTGCTCCGGGCATCTTTAGCTTTGGAGGGTCCAGGCTCACCTTTTGGGACCACATGTATGACTCGTTTTGGGGTTCATTTGGTCCCCTAAGGTTTAGGGTTCAGGGTTTAGGGTTTAGGGTTTAGGGTTTGAAAGACAGGCCGGCTTCTTTCAAAGGCGATTTGCTGTGGGCTGGGCACGTTCGAGGCTACAGTCGGCACTGACGCGTCCGTGAGTTTGCGCAGCACTCGCTCTCCCGACTGCTTTAGCAGAGGCTCAAGACAACCCAACTTGAGCTACGGGCAGACAGCCCCTTCCGTGTCCTTCTCCTGCAGTTGTCCATTAGCTGTGTGTACCTATAGCAATAGCTTGTCCCCCCTTGGTGCACTGCTGTGACTCGTCACTTGCCCCGGACTTGTGATTCACCTTCCTGCCAGAGCTCTTCGGAGACGCCGAAGAGCGCTCCTTCTTCTAACTTTTGCATTCGGGACGCCATGTGGAGCCTCCTGGGCCTGTATTTTATTTGCGCCGCGCGGGCGGCGACTGCACCCTCAGCCAGTTGTGAAGAAGCCTCGGGGACTTGCTGGAAGTCGGCGACGCTGGCAGAAGAGGTCCGGGAGACGGGGCTTTCGATGGTGCAGCGAGGGCGGGTACGACAGAGGGCAAAGAAGCCCTGGGAAGCTTGGAGAGGTTGGGAGGAATTGGAGGGTTCTTGGGAGGGGACTCAACAAGTTTGCGCCTTGACGTTTGCGTCTCTGCAATGGCATGTGCAGATGTAGGGGTGGACTGTGCTTGCTGCATGATTCAGTACCTTGCCAACGCGCATGTGCTTTCCTAAGCGGACGAACTTCTGCCCAAACGTTCAGCACGTCGTCACAGGCAAGCCTTGACCAACTAAGGAGACGCTCCGATTCACCGCAGTGGCATACCACAAGTCGGGCGTCTTCCTCATGCAGGCTCGGAAGATCACCCTCCACCTATCCACGGTAGATTGGCATCAATCTTTGAATATTGCTAGAAATAATATGCTTTATCTGGCTTGGTGCCAAGGGAGTAACCCCCCAAGAAGGGGCTTAGGGTATAGTTGAGGGTATCTTCATTTTATGAAGAGGCCAGTGCTGGTCCCTGTGAGACGGGTGACCCTATCGTATCTATCATTCGGGCTCGTCACGCAGCACTTTTCCATTGAACATACAACCGAATCATTGCAAGAGAATCATACATATATGTTTCAGACGTCGCTGTTCTTCGCATGCCACGAAGCTTTCGGAGCTAGTCTGCATCCCACTCTTCACGGCCTCTGCGCCATATCACAGCAAACCCTAGGCCCTACACCCGAAGCCCTAAACCCTAAACCCTAAACCCTAAACCCTAAGTATGTGCAGAAGCATTCTCTCTTCAGTTGCCCCGTGGAGCTGGGCCAGACGAGTAGCAAAACAGGAGCCTCAAGCCCACAACCGCTCGCAAAGCCTTTCTGGTCCAGCCCTGAACCCTAAACCCTAAACCCATAAACCCTACACCCCAAAACTTCCCCGGCCAGCCTCTTAAAAAAACAACATGAATCTCCAAGTAGCCCTAAACCCTAAACCCTACAAACCTTCAGTGCCTTTCAGGAGCTGCAGAACTTCATCTTCGGGGTCCTTGGGGCTCCAGACTCGGCCATCGGGAAATGGCAGCAGCCGTGCTTCAACGAGACTGCCTGGGAAGTGGGTTTAGGTTGTGGGGTGCAGGGGGGCTGGGCAGAAAGGGCAGCAGTCGAGTCCCTTGTGAAAAGGGTTTTGGCTTTAGGGTTTAGGGCAAGCAAGGGTTGAGGGAAGTGAAGTGCGCGGGGTTGAGGGGTTGAGGGAGAGGGGTTCAGTCGAGTTCAGGGCGGGCGGCTCTTGCCATGAACGTTGTGCAGATTTTTGGGAGCCTTGAGCCACAGCCATTGCCAGAGGGCGGCCACACCGAAACCCTAAACCCTAAACCCTAAACCCTAAACCCGCAGAATCGCCAGCGCAGGATCATCTACAACGAGGAGTGGTGCAAGCCTCGCGGCCTGCGTTATTGCTTCTCTCACAGTGTTGTCTCGACTTTGCGTAGACCCGTGGGAGCCCTAAACCCTAGACCCTAAACCCTAAAGCCTAAACTTTTTTCTCCCTTGTGGGATCTCCTCTTAAGCGCTCGAACTCTCAGTGTGCGGGCCGAGTGAACCCTTAAGAAATCGGGGTCAGGCGCCCCTCTGCACTCCTACACAAGAGACTTCCCTTAGTAGTAGAGTAGGTAACCTTGAGCTGTTTTGGGTTAATATATTCCCCTTAGAATCCCAAAACCTGTAAGTGGGGTACATGGTCCATAAACCCTTCCATCCAGGGAGGATGTAGCGTTGAATGGAAAGCGTAGAAGTCCGAAACCCTAAACCATACCTAACCTTGTGGCGAGTGTGGGAGCCGAAACCCTAAACCCCAAACCCTAACCCCCAAACCCCAATCCTAAACCCTAAACCCCAAACCCCTAAACCCGAAACCCTAAACCCCTAAACCCTAAACAAGTCAACTCCAGGCACCACGACGCGCCCATCCGAACGTTGGTGGACATCTATGGCCCGGACTTGGACAAGCCACCTGGTCGCACAAACCCTTTAGGGTTTAGGGTTTGGGGTTAGGGGTTAGGGTTTAGGGTTTAGGGTTTACCCTAAAACCCTGAACGGAGTGGTTCGTCCTTCTATGCGGGCGCCAGCACAAACCCTGAACCCTAAATCCTAACTTTCCGTCTGCTCGGCAGTGTGGACAAAAACCTATTCCCTCAATCTAGGGCTCGGAGTCGGAACAGCACAAGCGCTGAGTTCATCTCCCTTAGAGGAGTTTGCCATGTCTTTTTTCCCAGCGGTTTCGGCCCATTCCATAATCAAAGGTAGTGACTGCCCTTGCGGTTTATGGGATTGGTTTTTTAAGCTAACAGAATAATTTCATGATATCTATATCTATATATATATATATATATTTATATCGAAAAACAATATGTCAATCTGACAATGTTGTTTACTAAAGAATAACCTACCCCAAATTATATAGCAATAAAGGTCCCAGCAAGACAACTAGGATACCAGCAAAAGGTATCTAGGATACCACTTTGTCAGGGTTTCAAAGTTTAGGGTTGCTTTTCCAAGCCTTAAGGGTTTCTTTTCGGAGCCTTAACAGGCACACCAGGGTTTAGGGCACTTTGGGGTTGAAAGTTCAGGGTTTCGAGATTAGGGAATCCTCAGGCACCCTCCCAATTTCAAGAACAAACAACCTAAACCACTCCTGACCACAGAACCCTAGACCTAGCCCCAAAACCCTGAAATCAAACTTCAAAGCCAAACCCCTCCCCCTAGCACAGTCTGGCCGTCTTTTGCAGGAGCAGATGTTATCCGCGTCTTTCTTTTTTAAGGTTATCTGCGTCTTTAGTTTTGGGTTGTCTGCGTCTTTTTGTTCTGGGATATCTGCGTGTTTTTTAGGGTGGTTTTCCTGCAGGGCATCACACTTTTGGCTTCCACAGAGGGTTATCTGCGTCTTTTTTTTGAAGCGTAATCTGCGTCTTTTTCCGGGTTTGGTGTTTAGGCTTAGGGTTTAGGGGTTTGGGGTTTAGGGTTTAGGGGTTAGGGTTTAGGGTTTAGGGTTTTTGTAGGGGTAGGGGTCAGGGTTTGTTTTGGGGGGTTTAGGGTTTAGGGTTTAGGGTTTAGGGTTTAGGGTTTAGGGTTTAGGGTTTAGGGTTTAGGGTCGTGGGTTAGGGTTTGTTTAGGGTTTAGGGTTTAGGGTCGTGGGTTTTAGGTTTAGGGTTTAGGGGTTTTGGGGTGGGTTTGGGGGTTAGGGTTTGTAGGGTTTAGGGTTTTAGGTTTAGGGTTTAGGGTTTTTAGGGTTTAGGGATTTAGGGCTTAGGGTATAGGGTTTTAGGGTTTAGTTGTATGTTTTAGGGTTTAGGGTTTGGATGTGAAGTTTGGGCTTTAGGGTGTTTAGGGTATAGGGTTTAGGGTTTAAGTAGGGTTCAGGGTTTAGGGTTTAGGGTGTTTAGGGTTTTAGGGTTTAGGGTCTAGGGTTTTGGGGTTTAGGGTTGTGTTTTTAACGTTTGGGGTTTAGGGTGTAAGGTGGGGCTTTAGGGTGTTTAGGGTTTAGGGTTTAATTAGGGTTCAGGGTTTATGGTTTAGGGTTCAAGGTTTAGGGTTTAGGGTTTAGGGTTTGTTTTGGGGGGGTTTCGGGTCGAGGGTCGTGGGTTTAGGGTTTAGGGGTTCAGGGGTTTAGGGGTTTCGGGGTTTATGCGTTTAGGGTTTAGGGGTTGGGGGTTAGGGTTTTTAGGGTTTAGGGTTTTTAGGGTTTAGGGTTTTTAGGGTTTAGGGTCAGGTTTAGGTTTTTTTTTAGGGTTTAGGGTTTAGGGTATAAGGTTGGGCTTTAGGTTGTTTAGGGTTCAGGGTTTAGGGTTTAAGTAGGGTTTAGGGTTTAGGGTTTGGTTTAGGGCTTAGGGTGTAAGGTTGGACTTTAGGGTGTTTAGTGTTTAGGGTTTAGGGTTTAAGTACGGTTTAGGGTCTAAGGTTTCGGGGGTTTCGCAGGGTTTTTAGGTTTTGGGGTAGAGGGTTTATGGTCTAGGGTTTAGGGCTTTTTGGGTTTAAGGTTTAGGGTTTAGGGTTTAGGGTCTAGGGTTTAGTGTTTAGGGTTTAGGGCTCCCTGCTATCTGGGAGGAAGCCAATGTGTAAGGTTGGACTTTAGGGTGTTTAGGGTTTAGGGTTTAATTCGGGTTTAGGGTTTAGGGTGTAAGGTTGGACTTTAGGGTGTTTAGGGTTTAGGGTTTAATTAGGGTTTAGGGTTTAAGGTTTAGGGTTTAGGGTTTAGGGTTTGTTTTGGGGGTGTTTCGGGTTGAGGGTTTAGGGTCGTGGGTTTTGGGTTTAGGGTTTAGGGGTTGAGGGGTTCAGGCGCTTAGGGTTTAGGGGTTGGGGGTTAGGGTTCTTTGGGTTTAGGGTATAGGGCTTCGGGTTTTCGATTAAGGTTTAGGGTTTAGGGTTTAGGGTTGAGGGTTGAGGGTTGAGGGTTGAGGGTTGAGGGTTGAGGGTTGAGGGCTTCCTGGTATCTGGGAGGAAGCCAATGTGTAAGGTTCGGCTTCAGCGTGTTTGGGGTTTGGGGTTTAGGTTTTAATTAGGGTTTAGGGTTTAGGGGGGTCGGGTTTGTTTTTTGGGGTTTAGGGGTTTAGGGATGCTGGCTTCTGGCTACAGTTAGGGCTGCTTCCCTCCCAGTAGCTTCAGGAGAACAAAAAGACACGGAGAACGCCCACAAACACCACCGAGGCAGCTGTTCCTCGATACAGCCGAAAAAAAAACAGAGGCAAAAAAGACACAGGTAACGCAATATCAAAAGACACAGATAACGCCAAAAAAAAGACACGGATCACCCCCTTTCCGTCTTGCAGACCTATTTTGGATATTACATATGGACAGTATATACTATGAGTGTGATTCTATATAGGACTGCAAGACAGCAAGACTGAAAACTGCTCACAAACGCGTGAATTACTAATTAGTAATTCAGAAACAGCTGCTCCTCACCATACAGAGCTTTAGGCCCTATAAGCCCTAAACCTGAAACCCCGTTTATAATTCGGTACTAGGGCTTCAGTTCAATGTATTATCGAGCCTTTCATCAAAAAGAGAGAGAGAGAGAGAGAGAGAAGGGTCTTAGGGTTTTAAACCCTCAACCCCAAACCAAAACCCTAAATTTAAACCCATTCTTATGTGGGGACACTAGGGTTTTGGTTTAGGGCGCCGGAAAGACAACTGGTTGTACTACTACTTTTACTACTACTCTAAACCCTAAACCTAAACACCGAATTAAAACCCTGCTTATGTTGGGACACGAGGGTTTCGGCTTAGGCGCCAGAAAGACAATTGGTGGTACTGCTACTCGTATTCCTACCCTAAACCCTAACCTAAACCCCCAAATTTAGACCCTTTTTTTAGGTTGGGACACTAGGGTTTTGGTTTAGGATGCCAGAAAGGCAACTGGTGGTACTGGTACGACTACGACAACCCTAAACCCGAACCTAAACCCTGCAAATTTAAGCTCTTTTTATGTTGGGACACTAGGGTTTCGGTTTCGGGCGCAAGAAAGACAGCCGATGGTACTGCTACTTTGCTGCTACTCCTCCTCCTGCTGCTGCTGCTGCTGCTAGTGCTGCATGATGGTCTTGTTTGGGCGTCGTTGTGTTTTGGTTGTTTCGGCGACGTCTTCCTCATCATCAGCGTGGCCCCTGGATTCCCGAAGCCCCTCCCTCCAAGATTTTTCTTGTCATCATCAGCGTGGCCCCTGGATTCCCGAAGCCCGTTTGGCAGAGCGAGTCGGGAATCTACCTCTAGATTCCCGACTCGCTTTGGACCGGGTGGAACTTCCAGAAGTCCCTTTGGGCCACGTCGGTCCAAAGGGACTTCTGGAAGTTCCACCCGGTCCAAAGCGAGTCGGGAATCTAGAGGTAGATTCCCGACTCGCTTTGGGCCGGTTCGCTGCCAAACGGGCTTCGGGAATCCAGGGGCCACGCTGATGATGACAAGAAAAATCTTGGAGGGAGGGGCTTCGGGAATCCAGGGGCCACGCTGATGATGAGGAAGACGTCGCCGAAACAACCAAAACACAACGACGCCCAAACAAGACCATCATGCAGCATTAGCAGCAGCAGCAGCAGCAGCAGCAGGAGGAGGAGTAGCAGCAGTAGTAGCAGTACCATCGGTTGTTTTCTTGCGCCCGAAACCGAAACCCTAGTGTCCCAACATAAAAAGAGGCTAAATTTTCAAGGTTTAGGTGGAAGACAACTGGCACCCTAAACCAAAACCCTAGTGTCCCAACCTAAAAAAAGGGTCTACATTTGGGGGTTTAGGTTAGGGTTTAGGGTAGGAATACGAGTAGCAGTACCACCAATTGTCTTTCTGGCGCCTAAGCCGACACCCTCGCGTCCCAACATAAGCAGGGTTTTAATTCGGTGTTTAGGTTTAGGGTTTAGAGTAGTAGTAAAAGTAGTAGTACCACCAGTTGTCTTTCCGGCGCCCTAAACCAAAACCCTAGTGTCCCCACATAAGAATGGGTTTAAATTTAGGGTTTTGGTTTAGGGTTGAGGGTTTAAAACCCTAAGACCCTTTTCTCTCTCTCTCTCTCTCTCTCTCTCCCGCTCTCTCTCTTTTTGATGAAAGGCTCGATAATACATTGAACTGAAGCCCTAGTGCCGAATTATAAACGGGGTTTCAGGTTTAGGGATTATAGGGCCTAAAGCTCTGTATGGTGAGGAGCAGCTGTTTCTGAATTGCTATGTGAGCAGTTTGCAGTCTTGCTATCTTGCAGTCCTATATAGAATCACACTCATAGTATATACTGTCGTTTTTTTCTCGCGTTATCTGTGTCTTTTATTTTGCGTTACCTGTGTCTTTTTTGCCTCTGTTTTTTTTCGGCTGTATCGAGGAACAGCTGCCTCGGTGGTGTTTGCGGGCGTTATCCGTGTCTTGTTGTTCTCCTGAAGCTACTGGGAGGGAAGTAGCCCTAACTGTAGCCAGAAGCCAGCATCCCTAAACCCCTAAACCCCAAACAACAAACCCTGAACCCTAAACCCTAAACCCTAAACCCTAAACCCTAATTAAAACCTAAACCCCAAACCCCAAACACCCTAAAGCCGAACCTTACACATTGGCTTCCTCCCAGATACCAGGAAGCCCTCAACCCTAAACCCTAAACCCTGAACCCTGAACCCTAAACCCTAAAAACCCTAAACCTTAATCGAAAACCCGAAGCCCTCTACCCTAAACCCAAAAACCCTAACCCCCAACCCCTAAACCCTAAGCGCCTGAACCCCTCAACCCCTAAACACTACACCCAACACCCACGACCCTAAACCCTCAACCCGAAACACCCCCAAAACAAAACCTAAACCCTAAACCCTAAACCCTAAACCTTAAACCCTAAACCCTAATTAAACCCTAAACCCTAAACACCCTAAAGTCCAACCTTACACCCTAAACCCTAAACCCTTATTAAACCCTAAACCCTAAACCCTAAAGTCCAACCTTACACATTGGCTTCCTCCCAGATACCAGGGGGCCCTCAACCCTAAACCCTAAACCCTAAACCCCAGACCCTAAACCCTAAACCCTAAAAACCCTAAACCCTATACCCTAAACCCTAAACACCCTAACCCCCAAGCGAAACCCCCGAAACATTAAACCCTAAACCCTAATTAAACGCTAAACCCTAAACCCTAAACACCCTAAAGTCCAACCTTACACCCTAAGACCTAAACCAAACCCTAAACCCTAAACCCTACTTAAACCCTAAACCCTGAACCCCCAAACAACCTTAAGCCCAACCTTATACCCTAAACCCTAAACCAACACAACCCTAAACCTAACCCTAAACCCTAAAAACACTAAACCCTAAACCTAAAACCCTAAACCCTATACCCTGAACCCTAAAAACCCTAACCCCCAACCCCCAAACCCTAAACGCTTAAACCCCTAAACCCCTAAACCCTAAACCCTAAACCGCACGACCCTCGAACCCCGACCCCGACCCCCCCCCCCCCCCCCCCCCCCCAAACAAAAAAAAAACAAACCCTAAATCTTGAAACCTAAACCCTAAACCCTGAACCCTAATTAAACCCTAAATCCGAAACCCTAAACACCCTAAAGCCCAACCTTACACCCTAAACCCCAAACCTTAAAAACACAACCCTAAACCCCAAAACCCTAGACCCTAAACCCGAAACCCTAAAAACCCTGAACACCCTAAACCCCAAAACCCTAAACCCTGAACCCTAATTAAACCCTAAACCGTATACCCTAAACACCCTCAAGCCCAACCTTCACACCCAAACCCTAAACCCTAAAACATACAACCCTAAACCCTAAAACCCTATACCCTAAGCCCTAAATCCCTAAACCCTAAAAACCCTAAACCCTAAACCTAAAACCCTATACCCTAAACCCTACAAACCCTAACCCCCAAACCGACCCCAAAACACCTAAACCCTAAACCTAAAACCCACGACCCTAAACCCTAAACCCTAAGCACCCAGAACAAACCCTAACCCACGACCCTAAACCCTAAACCCTAAACCCTAACCCCCCAAAACAAAACCCTGACCCCTACCCCTACAAAAACCCTAAACCCTAAGCCCTGACCCCTAAACCCTAAACCCTATCCAAACCCCTAAACCCTAAGCCTAAACCCCAAACCCGGAAAAAGACGCAGATTACGCTTCAAAAAAAAGACGCAGATAACCCTCTGTGGAAGCCAAAAGTGTGATGCCCTGCAGGAAAACCACCCTAAAAAACACGCAGATATCCCAGAACAAAAAGACGCAGACAACCCAAAACTAAAGACGCAGATAACCTTAAAAAAAGAAAGACGCGGATAACATCTGCTCGTGCAAGACGGCCAGACTGTGCTAGGGAGAGGGGTTTGGCTTTGAAGTTTGATTTCAGGGTTTTGGGGCTAGGTCTAGGGTTCTGTGGTCAGGGAGTGGTTTAGGTTGTTTGTTCTTGAAATTGGGAGGGTGCCTGAGGATTCCCTAATCTCGAAACCCTGAACTTTCAACCCCAAAGTACCCTAAACCCTAGTGTGCCTGTTAAGGCTCCGAAAAGAAACCCTTAAGGCTTGGAAAAGAAACCCTAAACTTTGAAACCCTGAACTCTAAACCCTAAAGGTTTAAGTAAGGTTTAGGCGTGCTTCAAGGGTTTCGGCTTTAAGGTTCTCAAAACAGGCTCAAAGTGGTATCCTAGATACCTTTTGCTGGTATCCTAGTTGTCTTGCTGGGACCTTAATATCCGAATAATAGTGTACAAAACCATCTGATAAGGCAAAAAGCGCAACGATATTTAAACGAAGCATGCAGGTAATATTTCTAATACCAATATAGCATAAATAGAAGTAGTATAGCAGCACATTATGCCAATATCATGGTAACCAGTTACAACTGTACTTGTAGCCCACTTATACGCCCCTTAAGTGCCCTAATATGGCTAAAACTTCGGTTACAAGTACAGCTACAATGGGTTAATAAGTCCCATGAACCTTCAAGTAGTGCCCTAAACCCTAAACCCTAAACACAGTGGGGTTGAGGGGGAAGGCATTGGTTAGATGGCCCGAGGCTCGAGCGCGCGGCTGCGGGGCCGAATGGCATGAGAGTCGCAGGCTCGGTCCGCCCCCTGGATGGAATGCAGAGTACTTGGGGACTGAAGGGTTTAGGGATGTTTAGGGTTTAGGAGAAAGGGTTCCGCGCTTGGGTTTGGGGTTTAGGGTTTGGGGAGCCTGGCGAGGTATCGAAGCCCGTTGCAAAAAGGGTTTGGGGTTTACGTAGGGTTTGGGGTTTGGGGTTTGGGGTTTGTATTACAAGTTGAATACTTGGGCGTTGCAAGGCCCTGCTGGACTGCTAGGCTATCGCGGGCTGCAAGACAAGAAGATGGGAGAACTGGGTTTCACCACCTTTTCCTGCGATCCCCTTCCCCCAACCACAAAGGGTGGGGGGGGCGGGGGGGGGACCATAGTTGAACTCTTCATAGCGGAGAAGGAGTTCCATAGACCACCCGGCCGACTTGTGTTTACCCTAAACCCTAAACCCTAAGCCATAAGGAGATCCTTTGGCCATGGTCGCGTCTGCGTACTGCTACCATCATCGAGGGGAGGCAGCTGCGGATCACGTTCAGGGTCTGGGTTTTAAAGGGGGTGTTTTGTTGAGCCTTTCTCATTCGATCTAGCAATCGTATGGTTTTTGGTATAAATATACATATGTATTTAAATGTATTTCTACAGAGGTAAACACATGTCTACATAAAAACATATATATATATAAACATATATACGTACTGTTGTTTTCGTATCCTGGCCTCCCCCTGATTTGAAGCCGCGCGCCGCTGGGACGCTTGCTTGCGCTCGAGGCGCCTGTTTTGCATAGCACGCTTGTGGCTTCGCTGAGGGTGCCACAAAAAATCTCGCGCGCTCTCGCTGAAAGCGCACATGGTCAGCTCTCTCTCTCTCTCTCCGCATCAAGTGCAGAACTGTCGTGGCTTTTGGTCCCCTGACGGCCTTTGGGACCAAATGAATCCCAAAAGGTTTCGAGTTTAAAGGGTTCATACTAGCCCCCCCTCACCCTAAACCCGAACCAAACACCCCCCGCCCCCCACCCCACCCCACCCCCCCTCCAACCCCACCTTTGCCAGGAGCTCGGCTACCCAGCCTTGTGGCCTCCAGGTGCAGTGATCACCATGGGACCCGAGGATGCCAGGCTTTCGAACGGGGCTTCAGGCTTTAGGGTTTGCTGGGTTTAGGGTTTCGGGCTAGGGTTTAGGGTTCTGGCGGACAGTTTCGGTTGTATGCAACAGGGGTTAGGGAAAGGGCTTTACTGGTTCCTTATGCAGGGTTTTTAGCGGGTGCTCGTTGGGTTTAAGAATCCCAGACCTATCGGGTGCCCCAGAAAATTTTGTAAGACGATGTAATAGCTCTAACCTACAGAGAAGTAGGTTTCGGAGTTCCTAACAGTTCGGACTGAGGGTAGCGTACAAGGTCCACATTGATTTGTCTTGAAGCACTCTTCACAAGCCAAGGAAGGCGTCAAGTTCGTCGCGGCAGCTGGGCGCAAGTACTCTGGGGTCGGGAGAATGACGAACAGCATTCCCTTCGGGTCCCGTTATGATTCCACTATAACGACCCCCAAAACCCGCCCTATTCTCAACATTAAGGCCCCTATGGGGCGGGGGTTCTCTGCACGCGGTGGCACTTGCTGCCTCGTGAACACAAGATGCTTCAGGAAAGGATGTTCACCACTGTGCAGAACATGACGGAGATCTTCGCAAATCCTGCCGAGGACGAACGACACCGAACGACTACCCCCAACATCCCCCCAACTGGCGATGCTGATCACCGCCTTTGTGTCCCTGAACGTTTTCCTGCCGAGTAGTTGTTTTTTCCATGTGGAGTGGGCACCTGCAGACGCCTGTAGCTCCGGGAGATGTCAATCCGGAGGACACCATCCGCCTGTCCTTCGAGAAGTTTGCAAATTCCAGCGAAAGTTTCGACCACGAAGCGGCTCGCTTGGTGCCCCTTGCGCCGCAGGAAGTGGTAGTACTTACCATTGCTTCTGGCTGGTTCTTTTTATGGAATGAGGAAAGAAGGTACCCTACACAATCTCTCAAAGGGTATACCATTCCCGATCCCACCCCAGAACTAAACCCCTTAACTCAGAAACCTGAGACCGTAGAGCCCAAACCCCAGGCAAAAACAAAACTAAACTAAAAGCCAAATCCCAGACCCTAAACCCCGAAAAGCAGAAACCTCAAACCCTGTTCTACCCTCTTCCACCAGGGACTTTTGGCTGGGTGACTTCGTGAGTGACTTTGAGCGAAGCCAGATGCTGGAGAGCGCCAAGCAGGTGCGGCCCAACTTAGGGTTTAGGGTTTAGGGTTGAGGGTTTACGGTTTAGGGTTTACTTTCGGTTTATGGTTTGTAGGGTTTACAGGGTTTAATTATCGGGTTTATAGGGGGGTTTGTTAGGGTCTACAGGGTCTACAGAGTTTATAGGGCTTGTAGGGTTGACTGATGTATATAGGGCGCTTGTGTTTGGCGCGTAAGGGACAGCCAGAGAAAGGGAGGGAGAGCCACGAGTGCTTTGCTTCTCTGTGTGGAGTGCGACTGAGTGTAAGCCCATGCGTGTTTGTCTTCTCGGTCCTGCACCGGCTACGAGTAGTTTCGGTTTCAAGAAAGGGAGGTTTAGGGTGGAACTAATGGAGACAGGTATGTCAAGACTTTCCGAGTCTTGAAAACGGTCTGGGGTTTAGCGGTCTATACTCTGCTAATATTCATTCTTTTTAGGGGCTATGCAATGGTTGTGTTTTGTTTACGCAGATGTTGATGGGCCTACATGTACCTTGATGTTTCGCATGGCTTCGCGCCCGGTGCGCGAACTCTACGTGCCCACAGGAATTCTGTAGCAGACCCGCACGGCTCAGGAACAGTCCAGCTGGCATTTACCTGCATACTCTGTGTGGGTTTTTAGATGAAAGCCCGAAACTCTAAATCCTAAGCCCCAAACCCCAAACCCTAATTCAAGAGGGGTACAGGGTTTTGGATTTCAGTTGTCGCCCTCGCACTCGCCAGGCGGACCTCCACCGAAATGCCGATGAGCTGAAGAACAAGCGCCCCGGTGTCCGAGAAGGGGTGGGTGTATCTTCTGTGGCATGTCGCACAAAATGTGTTCTTTCGAGCCTCAGGCCCATGACAAGGCCTAGTAATTGCTCAAGAACCCCCCCCCCCCAATTAAAAGGTAATATAGGGCAAGTTGTTTGCCATGGCAAAACTCTTCCGTGATTCTGGCACTTCTCCTGTGAATCTCAGTATGTGTCCCTCTTGAATTTTGGCACCCTGAATTCTAACTATCTTCACGACGCCCTCTCCTGTCTGCGTGGTGACTTGTGACATCTTCCTTTTCCGTTCTAGATTCTTGTTGGTGTGGGGGGAGGCCACTCTTTCGCGAGCATATAAAGCGCGTTGACTGCAAGATCTGATGCGATCAGCCCAAATTGCAGCTAAGAGTTCGAGCGATTGAAACCCTACCTCCCCCCCTAAGCCCGAAAGCCTGGTGACAGGAGCCAGGCCATTTCGACGCACAGCAACAGCGAAGACTGTGAGGCCAGCAAAGGGGGAGAGCAGCTTCCGGTTTAGGAGGAAATGTGTTGGGTGGCCAATGTTTGTTTTGGGTGTGCGTGTGCACTATACAGGGGCTGCAGCAGTACAAGTGCTATGATGTGATTCGTCTTATGAACGTAAGCGCGGTACGAGTTCTGCCCGGCTTGCATTTGTTTGCTGCTGTTCCTTCGTCGACTCAACTCGATGTGCCTCACACCTCTTAACTCCTAAACTCCTCACAGACAGTCTTGGGAACTAAGCGAATCCTAACCTGGGATCTCACATACCCGAAGCGATGATCATGGTACATGGGCCACTGACCCAGCTTCGCAAGCCAACAGACAGCAATTCCGTTCCGTTCCGGCGCTCCGTTCCATTCTGGCGGGGTTCCCGCTCCGGAGTCTCATATAGCCCCCCACCTTCAGGGATAGAAACCCGACCCTTCGGCTGTTGGGAAGAAGCCCCGTTTATAAAGGGTCAAAAGGCCGGACGTAAAGCTTAAACTCCCCAGCCGCCCAGCCGCAGGCACCCTGGGTGGAGGCTACACCCTAAACCCTCGAAACCCCAAAAGACCTGAATCCCTAAAGCCCACCCCCTCAGGTCATGCCGCGCCACCCGAAACAAAAGACACAGAACCTAAGCCCTAAACAAGCTGAAACCCCGTAGCGCGTGCCTAGACAGATGGCACAAAAACATCCTTAACAGGGTTTGGGAGTGGGAGTGAGATTTGCCAGTGAAGCTGGTGTAGAGGTATCCTTGACAATCAGGCAGTTACCCCCCCGAGCCCTAAACCCTGTGAAGCCTCTATTTAAAGGCCTGCCATTGGGAGCTTTCAGAGGCGACTGGCGGGTGGCACGTCGGCGGACACCTCGTAAAATTCACTCTAGCTACTCTCCCCAAATCCTAAACTCTCCCGCCAAACCCGAGACCCGAAAGCCTAAACCTCCATTGTAAGCAACAAACCCCCTAACCCCAGCTGTCACCAAAGACCCTAAACCCTAAACCTCCATTTTCAGCAGCGAACTCCCTAAGACGCCAAACTTCCCGGAGCCCTCAACCTCAACAGACCCTAAACCCTAAATCCCAAACCCTAAACCCTAAACCCTAAACCCTAAACCCTAAACCCCCACAGCTGCCAGCAATGCAGGTGAAAGCCCTTGAAGCGACCAAGCGGCTGCCTCCCGAGCTTCTCGCACAGTGCCCAAGCTTGAGAGCTGGAGTCGGCGCAGCTGCGGGGGTTTAGGGTTTAGGGTTTAGGGTTTGGGGTTTAGGGTTTAGGGTTTAGGGTTTGGGGTTTAGGGTTTAGGGTTTAGGGTTTAGGGTTTGGGGTTTAGGGTTTAGGGTTTGGGGTTTGGGGTTCGGGGTTTTAAGGGTTTCGGGTTTAGGGCTTAGGGCTTAGGGCTTAGGGTTTATGCAAGTGGTCGTGCGGACTGTCACAAAGCGAGACACTTGGCGACTAAACGGATTCCAATTCAGAATTACGTGAGTTGGCCATCACTTGCCTGTCTGCAGGCACAGGTTTAGGGTTTGGGGTTTAGGGTTTAGGGTTTAGGGGGGTGGGGTGGGGTGTGAGGGTTTAGGGTTTCGGGTTCCGTATCATGCGCTTGGGCAGTTTCTGGCAGCACCCACTGGAGTCCGGATGCAACAGATTTTTTATCCCAAAGCCCAAAACCCCAAGCCCATACCAACCAAAGCCCCTCCCAACTCTACCCCAGACCCCCCTCTCAGCCCACGAAATTCCTTACTATTTTGGCATTATACTGCATTCCCTATTCTACTTTCATGGTGCTTGCGGTGTAGATTGGTATAGTAGCATTACCCCTAAACTCTAGGGCTTAAAAAAGGGTACCACTATGATACCACTATACTCTTCTGCCTTTCATCCTGAGGTACCGGACTTTTCAAACCCGGCTCGGGTACAAAGCTGACTAAAGCTTCCCGGATTCGATGGTGAGCTTTCGCTCGATTTTGCGGGGCTTTGAGGTTCAGGGGTTGATAGCTTCCGGGGGGTTAGGCTCGTCGTGCTGTCAGCTGCCACACCCCTGTGCATGTGGCACAATTCGTACAGGTGCCCATAAAAAAATATATATAGGGACCAGGGACCCATTCATGCCTGCCATGTCCCTGCAGGAGTTGTGACAATCTTGAGTGTCTCCGAATTGTCCGGAGACTCTAACCCGCAAACCCTCCAAAGCACCTAAATCCTAGAAACACTACAAACCCAACAAACCCTATAAACCCCATAAACCCGATAAACGCTGCAAACCCTGTAAAACCCTAAGTTAAACAAGGGAGCTTCTTTTTGGGCGGTTGGGATCCCAGACCTTTTTTGCAGGATTCTTGGGGGCGTATGGAGCAGGGGACCCCGTAGGCTCCTTTAGATGGAAATGGGTGGGAAGGCTTTTAGGGGATTTATGAGGGTTTTCTAGGGTCTTCTTTGGTTTCTGGTGGTTTTAGTCGGTTTCTTGGTGGTTTTTGCAGGTTCTTGTTGTGGAGGGTTGTTAGGGTTTTTGGGTTTACAAGTATTTATGTATCTGTCGTTTAGACGACATCTCGGTTGGTCCATCAACGCGTGCCTTTAACGAAGACAAGGTATAGTGTTCTTAAGGAAGGTTCAAGGTATGTAACCTAAATTTCCTTTGTACTCCCCACTACTCCCCAAGGCTCCCAAAGCTTCCCTGAAGTTCCCTGGGTACCTAACCCCCCCTCCCTTAAGAGCCCTACAAGCAAGAAAGCAAAACCTCCCATCTGAGTCTCAGGCACTTTTGGCCACTGGAGCCGAGCATCTTTTGAGCAGAAGCCGAGTACAAAAGAAGCACGTCCGTGCTCGTGTGCTGCGAGCGCCCTGCTGATGCCTTGCAACCATTGCTAAAAAGGTTCGCTGATTTTTTTTGTGGGGGGTTTCCGAATTTTAGGGCAATTAGGGGGGCCTTTATTTGGAGTTTCGTTAAGGGGGTTCGGGAATCTGAGGCTTGCCCCCAAGTTTGGCAAGCATCCGACGGCCTTATACGATGTCCTCTGTATTTTGAACCAGAGAACGCCAGGTGGCGCATCACCCGCAGGGGTGCCCGGGAGCGAGCAATAGCAAGCCATGAGTGGTGGTGAAGCCTCCTTTGGAAAAGGGGTGCTGGCTAGGGAGCTTGTGTCGAGCAAAAAGTTTAGGGTAACCTTCCAAAGCCTACTGCTAAAGGGTTTAGGGTTATAGGGTTTAGGACCCTAAACCCTAAACCCAGGGTAAGGGCTCTTGCGGTTGTTCGCCTAAGCGTTGGATTTTCCGCTAGGACTTCCTCTCCCTGAGCACATGCTGAGGCAAACTCATCGAAGCAACCCGTTGTACTGTGGGAGCGGGTTAAAGCTTAGTGTTGAGGGTTTATAAGGTTTAGGGTTGAGAGGCAGTTCAGTTGCAAAAAAGGGGTTGAGGGGTCAACGAGGCAAGCTGATGATCCCTCTGAAGTAGTTTTTGTCAGGGACAGCCCTGCACTGACATACTGTAATACTGACACCTCTGCATGCGTTGTTCCTAGCTAGGGGTTATAGACTCTCCCCACGGCCTCTGCTCAACGCCTAAGAGCCCTAAATCCTGTAGGCACTGTAGGGCTTAGAGTTAAACCCTAAACCCTAAACCCTAAACCCACTAAACTCGCTAAGCAGCCTGCCCGAAGCCGCGCTCTGAGGCTCTGGCAAGGCACAGTCACGGCCATCTGAGTGGGCGCTGAATGGGCGCCGAATCGCAGAGGCTTTGCCTAAGTAGGGGGCGGGTGTAAGGTGTAGGGTTTAGGGTTTCGGGTTTAGGCTTTAGAAAGTTTTAAAAGTTTAGAAAATTTAGGGTGTAGGGGGTAGCCCAGGTGTTGTTCTGGGGTTCTTAGGATGACGCTTTAGGGTACAGGGCTTCGGTGCGCCGTATGGTTTCCAGCACCATTGCCGTTTCACGTGAGATTGTGGACCAAAGCTGTACAAAGCCAGCAAAAGCAACGAAGTGGTGTGTTGGCATGCTCATGTTCTGAACTCTGAAACTCTGAGATGAGGGGTGAGGCAGGCGAGGGCCCAGCCTGCTGTAAGATGTCGAGACATCCCTTGCCCCTCCCCCCCCCCCCAAAGATCACATCGACATGACCAGGATGCCCAACCCCTCAGCAAAGCACCCAGATGGTTGTCATTGCTCTGCGGCGCAGTTTAAGCCTGCTGATGCCATGGCTTCCATGATTATCGATCAATGTCCTTGAAACTTGTGGGCATCTTCGGAGGAGGACATGTGGCTGCGAACACACTCCATGAGCAGAATCTCATGATGATTTGGCTGCCACCGGAAATGCAAAGGTGCCTTAAGTATGATTGCATGCCCATGTATGATTGCATGCCCATGTTATTAACAGAGTTGTTATTAACAGAGTTCAGCCATGTATCTCAACAATTGTCGATGCCTCCACGTGGGGGTTTCCGAAAACTCGGGGTCCCTTTTTGAGGGCCCTTTGCAATCTTACGACTTACGACATATTTTTCGGAGGAAGACTAAACTGAAGGGGGGGACCCTCGTGGTTTTGGAAACTCCCATTCAAATGCCTTGGCATCTGGTCTGCTCCCGCCCATGAAGAAGTCTACGAGCCAAGGCCTCAATGCAATCCTCCCCCACATCACGTCCATCTCAGGTCCTAATGCCATCCAACAGTCAGCTACCCGTCGCGCACTGCCTCAAGAATAGCAAGCGATGCCCCGGGCACCAGTTTGAATTTTTGCCAGAGTGCAGTGTACCGGAGTCAGGGACCTGCCAATGCACCGATTGTGAATCAGGGGGTGTTGCCGACACCCAAACCCTAAACCCTAACCCTGCAACCTCGAGGCAGCTGTCTTCAGCGGAGTGGCACTGAGTTGTTCAGACTGGCGTCGTGCACAATTTTGCAGTTAAGCTCAGAGCTACCCATTCGGACCGTATCATGAAGGATCCCCTCGAAAGGGACCACCAACAAAAGAGGGCCTCACATACTCAGTACACAACATCTGCCTCGAAGTCCCAAGCCTCCCATCAGGACAGCGTTCCTGTGGCTCCTGTTCTTGCTAGGTGTGCAATCCTGCCGGGCTTGCGGGCGTTCTGCACGTACATTTCCTGCACCTCGCAAAGCTGAAAGTTGTAGTCCAACCATCAAAATTTTTGTAGACCCAAATGACCCCTGAAGGGGCTTATGGTTCATATTACCTTAATAGAAAACAGAGTAGTAGAATGCTCAGACTTCATTTTTGGGGTTCATATGGTCCCCTATAGGAATTAAGCATAGGCAGCCTACTGCCATGCGCCAGGTTGCTTTGTGCGCATCAGTGGCTGCTTCCCAGGCGTTGCCGTCAGTCTTTTGTAGAGTGAGCTTTTGCGTGGTTGCCCTTAAGCCCTGAACCCCTCAACCAAACAATTTCCTACTTGGAGGGGCGGGAAAATACCCTCAACCCCAAATCCCAACACTTTTCGTACGGATCAGCGGCTTTGGCGACATTGAGGCCATTGCCAGCCTTCTGATTGTGTAGGGTTTGATGTTCAGAGTTTCAGTCACGGCCATCAGGCAGGCTGTTGCGCAAAAGAGCTTAGGTAAAACCAGCTTCAGGAAGGAGCTTGAACTAAGTTGCCAGTTCATGAGAGGACTTTGATAGAAGGAGCCTAGTTCAAGACACACCTGACATCTTCCAATTTCCTCGTGGCAGTTGCTGAAGGGGAAGCAAACGACGTGCATGCCAGGGACATGCCCATCCAGTACAGGGGCCCTAAACCCTAAACCCTAAACCCTAAACCCTAAACCCTTTTCCTAGCACTTGAGAAGCCGTTCCGCCCAGAATGGTCTGCCGAGGTCTTCTGAGGCCTCGGCAAAGGTAGACGCAGCACAGTGCTGGCCCCAACTGTCCGGTTTAGGGTTTAGGGTTTAGGGTTTAGGGTTTAGGGTTTAGGGTTTAGGGTTTAGGGTTTAGGGTTTAGGGTTCCCGAATCTTCTTTGGGGGGATCTCGGTTCCCGAGATCTTGGCCGTGTTCTGTGATTCAGGCTATTGCACTGTTAGCATTGTCACTGTCATTGTGATTGCGATTGTTGTTGGTGTCGTCTTGTTTGTTGCTATGGTTGTTCTGGTTAAGGTTCTGGTTGTTCTTGTTAAGTGTTACTAGGATGTTTCTACGGCTCTACGGTTATTGACATCTTGTCTCCATTCCCACGATTGCTGCTGCTGTTGTGATTGCTGTTACTCGTATCATCGGGGAGGCCCTAAACCAAAACCCTAAACCCTTCCAGTGTGTCATGAGGTCAGAGGGGGAGACAGAGGAGCTCGCCGCGTTGCAGGCCCAACCTCCGCACATTCTTGGCCGGTTCTTCGTTTTGTTGTTTCATCTTTCGGGGGAGGTTGGGGACTTTGAGGGTACTGCGTGACTCATGGCCTTTGCTTCTGCGGGGGGCCAGGCCCTCCTCAAAACGTCTACCAGGTCGACCACCGAAGGATCAGCTCCTATTCTAAGCACAACTCTATCACCCTCAACCGCCTCAGCACTCTGGGCAAAAAACCCTAAATCCTCAACCCTAAACCCTAAATCCCAAAACCCGAAACCCTGAACCCAAACATACCTTTTTCCCGATGCGCCCTCCGTGTCCCGCGGAGACCACGAACTTGGGCGAGCTTGGGCCGGTCCCGAGCTTAAGAGGATTTTTCGGTTTTTTTCCGGGGGTTTAGGGGAGCCTCTGGGGATGATTAGGTGCCTTTTTTAAAAAAGGCGCTCTTCTGGCGCCCAAAATTTGGGGGGTGACCTCACCCCCCCCCCCCCCCCCGCGCCACCTTGCGGTCTTCAATTGGAGTCTTGCACCTCCAGGTGCAGGGCTCAGCGGCGGGGCACGCTGAATCCGGCGGAGGCGGAGGCGGCTGTGTTGCGACATGAGCGACCATGTAGACTGCTTAGCAGTAGGCGTGTTGCGCTAGTGAGTGCACCTAAACCATGGGACTTGTTTTCACGGGGACTGCATGCCAGCAACCTCTTGGAACCTAGCTAGGTGAAATAGAGCCGTCACCCTAAACCCTAAACCCTAAACCCCTATGGTTTCTGTGTTTGCGCAACGAGTTCCACGAGGACGCCAACCGCGACTTCCGAAAGCGAGCAAAGAGCAGGCGCAGACGGAGGAGGACCTGGCTCTTGAGTAGGGTTTAGGGTTTAGGGTTTAGGGCTAGGGTTTAGTTTAGGGTGTCCCCAAACTGAATAACAGCGCCCAATCAGGAGCCCAGTCATGTGGCAGCAGCTGAGCCTGCAGCAGGCCTGCACACTGGACTTCAGGGCCTCTTCAACGGATAGTTGTACACACGGCGCAAGAGGTTTCGAAGGTCTTATGGTTCTTGTGGAGTAGGGTTTAGGGTTTAGGGTTTGTAGGGTTTAGGGTTTAGGGTTTAGGGTCGCATCTCCTGACGTGGCCCAGCTGCCCTGCCTCCGACCATTCTGGTGACCCTGCGAGTTGCTTAAGAACCCCCCCCCCCCCCCCCCCCCCCCAAAAAAAAGAAAAGACAAAAGCAATCAGATGTATGTATATATATATATATACATGTACAAAACAAACCTTCCTGATAAGGGTGATGTAGGGATGAACAGATCTTCCTTATAAGGGTAACACTTGGATGATTTTTTGTTTGGGTTCATAAGCAAATAGTAGAACCCCGCAATGCTGCGCGCTGCTGGTGGTGATGGGTGGCTTTTGCGCAGGAAAGGTCCGGCCGGCACAGTCAATTGGAGCCGGGGTCCCCGATGGAGACGTTCACGGACTTGGCTGCTTGAAGACAAGCCTCCTCCTTTCTAGGACTCCAACAAATTGGGCTCTAAACGCCCCCTCAAGCAAATGAGTACCCTCCGTTCCAAGTTGTTCAGGATGATGTCCAAGTTTTGGTGCAGACCTCCTTACTTTCGCATTCTACCAGGGCTCCTGTAAAAAAATCACGTCGGATGCCCAGTCGAGAGGATCATAATGCAGGGAGGACCCTCCCGACACCACGTACTGAGGAACCTCTCATTGGCTTTGACAACAACGCGCCGCGACCGTCGCGCACTTTAGCGCCGGCAGCGCATGCTTCATTCAGCATGTGTCCAGAAGTCCCTAAGCCCTCTAAACCCTCATCTCTCTTTTGTGACCGTGCTCCTAAACAAAACTAAACAAACACCCTTGGGCTTGATTGACTCGATGACTCATCAGAGACCCAAGAAGCCAAGTCTCTTGAGGGCTCCTCGGCCCGGCGACTACGAGGCGCGAACAAAAGCAGATCATTACACAACTGTTTTTTTTTCTCTCTCTCTCTCTCTATCTGTATATGTATACATATACATATATAGATATATTATTGTTTGTAACTCTACATGTATATATACATATACAATACAATATATATATATAGAGAGAGAGAGAGAGAGCGAGAGAATATATATACACACACATATATATATATATTATATGCAGGTGCATATTTTGATTTGGGTAGTTGTATCTATCTATATATATATCTCTATCTATATGTGCATGTATATATATATATATACACATGTACATATGTTATATGTGCAGTTATATGTAAATTCAAAAGTCCATCTTCATTGCATATATATATATATATGTGTGTGTGTGTACATATATATATATATGTATATGTCTGTGTGTGTGTGTAACATGCACCTGCGTTTTCTGCATGGTCATTACATGCAACGTGCGAAATACAACGCGGGCAAAAGAAAAAATGTCGTGAATGTGAGTCACTGTACGACAACATATGATGTAATGTAACGTATGGGAATGTATTGTGTTCGGGGCATGTGTTGGTGCACCTGGTTCTCCTTTGTTTTTGAGGAAAGTACGCCTTATTTGTTTTATATCTTGCATGCCACAGAAAAGATGGGGCGAAAACACCTGCTTCTCTTGTGCCTCGGAGGAATACTCTGAAGCGTTCGGCCCTGAGATCTTCGAAGCAACGCCACTCAATGGGCGTTGAACCCTTGCCTCCTTGTGCGAGCGTCGAAGCCCTGAACTCTCGATTTTGGTTCAAGATCTGAACAGCCTGCCCATGCAGTGCTGACATGCCCCAGCAGGAGCCGGCCTCAGCCACAGCCCCCGAAGTCCGAAGGGACAAGCAGAAGGAGGATGCGGAGCTGGACATCGAAGCCCTGGCGAACCTTGGGGACCAAATGAACCCGAAAATAGAGAGAGATACCCTATGGTACTCTAATTCCTACTAAGGTAATATGAACCATAAACCCTTCTAGGGTTCATGTCCCCAAGGAAGAAGTACAACACAAGCCTCAAAACGGGCCTCGCGGTCAAGAAGGCCTCCTGGATCCTGAAACGGGATGGCCTGAATGAGTTGAAGAAGCTTGGTAGCTTAGTGGTACCCTTTACCCTTTTTTTGGGGTTCGGGTTTTCCCTTATTAAAAATAACCAACCTAAAAAAGGGGTGCCCTTGTTATAAGATGGTTCCTGGGCTACCTTAAGGAAGCCACCGAAGCCGAGCCTACTGCTGCTCTTCCTGTTGCAGCTCTCCAGCTTCATCATCGTCCTCCTCATGCTGGCCGCCGTGTCCTCCATCCTCGTGAGCGCCACGGGCGCTGACGCTGCGGACCCGCTCTCCTACACCACAGGTACCTTCTTGGGAACCCGATATGAACCCTAAAAGGGTTTAGGGTTCAAATAGCCTGAATGGCATTTTGGAGTATAAAGTATGTAACCCGAATGTTTCAGGGCCCATCTGGTCCCCAAGGCATTGCCATCGGGATCATTGTCCTTGTCAACGCCGGCATTGCGGCATGGACTGAGCGCAAGGCAGGCGATGCCCTCGAAGCGCTGTCCAAGATGATGCAAGCCAGCATCTACGTGGTGCGCGATGGGAACGAAGTTCAGGTCCCTGCGCGAAGTGTGGTTGTTGGGGACATTGTCGTCCTCAGTACCGGCGACGTCGTGCCCGCAGATCTGCGTCTCTTCGAGGCCCAGGACTTCAAAGTCAGCGAGATGGCGCTCACAGGTGAACCCGATGACGTTCCCAAGACCACCAAAGTCAGGGAGAAGAAGATAGGTGCCCCTGAGAAGCTGACTCCCGAGACCATGGCCTTCTCCGGTTGCAGCATCACCAGTGGCCTTGGCCGTGGCCTGGTCACGGACACCGGCATGAACACCCGCATTGGTCGCATTGCCCAGCTTATCGCCGGGGATGATGGCCAGAAAACTATCTGCTGCTGCTTCCCGGACACGTCTGGAAATCAGACACCTCTGCAGCAAAATCTGAACATGCTAGGCGGCCGCATCGGTATCCTTGCCATCAGCGTTTGCGTCTTTCTCTTCTTCATCGGCTGGGTCACAGACCGCAACTAGGTAGGCCCTTGGGACATCTTACACTTTCCCTCATTGGGCTTCAGAGGATCATATGTAGGAGTATTTTGCCTGTATCCCCCTTGGGGATTATTTTCTACTTTTGTTTAAATAAAACCCAAGAGGATATCAAAAACACTATTCTTATTAAATTAAGGTTCTAAAGGGAGTATAGTATCCAGAGGGTGTTTTACGGGCCATCCAAGGCAAAGACCCCTCCAATCCTGACAGTGAAACCTGGCTCTACATGATTCTTGGTCATCGTTGGGTAAGATTTTACATCTTTAAGGTTACTTAAACCGAATAAGGCATATACATATATATATATATATATATACATATACATATATATATACACTGAAAATGTTTAATACGAGCCCAACCATGAACGAGGATTCTGGTGTCCGTGACCCTGGCAGTGGCCGCCATCCCGGAAGGCATCCCGCTTTGCGTGACCATCTCGCTGTCCATGGCCTGCTCGGATATGATCAAGCAGAAGGCGCCTGAACCCTGAACCCTGAACCCTAAACCCTGAACCCTAAACCCTAAACCCCTAAACCCTATAAACCCTAAACCCTAAACCCCTAAACCCGAAACCCTAAACCCCTAAACCCCTAAACCCCCTAAACCCCTAAACCCCTAAACCCCAAACCCTAAACCCGAAGGTGCTGGTACGAAAGCTTCCGGCCCTCGAGACTCTGGGCTCCGCCTCCGTCATCTGCAGTGACAAGACCGGGACGCTCACAGAAGGCAACTCGGCGGTTCAGGGGGCACCCTTTGTTTTTTGGGTTCTGTAGGTTTCCTTCCTGTAGAAAGTAGCCAACACCCCCACCTCCCCCCCCCCAAAAAAAAAAAAAGTGCCCGTATTGTGATAGGGTTCCTGGGCTGCCTGGGCTACTTTAACTTAGGCAAGATGACAATGGTTGCCATGTACGCAGCCGGCATCACCTACGAGGTGACCGGCAAGGGATTCGACCCCGAGGTGGGCCAGGTGCAGCGGAGTGGCAGCCATGAGGACAGTGGCACGGACATGGGCGTGAAGAGCAGCCTTCTTGCGGCCGCCCTCTGCTGCGACACGACGCTGTGCAAAGAGCAAGGCGTGGATGGGGTCATGAAGTGGGTGCCGAAGGGCAACTCCACCGAAGCTCCCATCCTCGTTGCCGCAAGGAAAGTCGGCCTCTCCGAAGCCATGGTGCGTGAGTACCCCCGTGTGATGGAAGTGCCCTTTTCTTCTTCTCGCATGATGATGCTTACCGTGTCGCGAGTGAAGGGCACCGAACTCTGCCCTGGTGGCATGCCGCTGCCGGCAGGAACGAACTACCTGGCAGTGTGCAAGGGCGCGCCCAACTACATCATCGATCTGTGCTCTGAGCAGTTGAAGGAGGATGGCAGTGCGGCTAAGCTGACTGATGATGATAAGAGTGAGATCTTGAAGGTTGTGGATGGCCACTCTGCACGTGCACTTCGTGTTCTTGCAATCGCAGCACGACCCATGAGCTCCCTCCCCTATGACGAGAGCAAGGAGGACATCACCTCAGATCAGATGTTCGAAGCATGCCGGCAAGAGCTGCGCTTCCTTGGGCTGGTTGCGTCCACCGATCCTGCGAGAGATGGTGTACCGGACTCTGTCCTTGCGGCTCGAGAAGCTGGGATCAGTGTGGTCATGGTCACCGGTGACTATCTGCTGACGGCCGTTGCTATTGCCCGGAGCATGAACATCCTCCAGCCCTGCGATGATCCCGACGTTTCGGCGGTGGACTGTGCCTGCCTCCGCCCTGATGGTGAGTACCTGGATGCGCAGGAGATCGACAAGCTCACGGGCTCGGTCCGCGTCTTCGCACGTGCCAAGCCTGAGGACAAGCTTGAGATCGTGAAGAGCCTTCAGCGGCAAGGTCAGGTGGCAGCAATGACAGGGGAAGGTGTCAATGATGCCCCTGCTCTCAACCAGGCAGACATCGGTGTAGCCCTGGGGATCGACGGGACGGAGGCGGCTAAAGAAGCCTCTGACCTGATTCTGACCGATGATAACTTCTGCTCAATCCTGGCTGCAGTCCAGAAGGGCCGCGCCATCTATTCCGGCATCCAGAAGTTCGTGGCTTTCATCATGTCGGTGCACATTGCAGAGGTGATGCAAATCTTCGTCTGCATCGTTGTGGGGATCCCTGTCATGCGTACGCCTCTTCAAATCCTGTTCTTTGGGGACCAAATGACCCCCTAAAAAGGTTGTAGGGTTCACATCACCTTAACAGGAATTATAGGGTATGCATAATGTGACCCCCAATTTAATTTTCGGGAAACCCTAAACCCTAAACCCTAAACCCCAAAACCCTAAACCCTAAACCCTAAACCCTAAACCCTCCTTGGAGCTCCTTTGGTCCCCCTAGGTTCTTGATCCTTGTGACCGACCTGCCTCCCTCCATCGCGCTGGGTGCTGAGCCTGGCGAGGCGCACATCCTGAAGATTCGCCCTCGCCCAAAGGACGAGCCGGTTCCTTGGGGACCAAAGGAGGGTTTAGGGTTTAACCCTAAACCCTGGACCCTAAACCCTGAACCCTAAAGAGGGTTTAGGGTTGGCCGATTTAGGGTTTCGGGTTTAGGGCTGATAGTGCGTAGCCTGGGTTCTAGAAAAGGGTTCAGGCTTTAGGGTTTAAATTTAGGAGGTTTAGGGGGAACCCGAAAATGGGGCTCATATTTCCTATACTACGATAATTCTGATTAGGGTAACATGAACCTTAAACCCTTTTCAGGGGTCGTTAGCTTCTTGAGGTTGTGCTGAGCTGGATGTGGTTGGCTATGGCCATGAACGGCACGGTTCTCACGACCGTGATTCTCATAGTGTACCTGATCTCTTTGATGCACTTTTGCGACGGCGAGGTTCTACAAGAAAACATTTACTTGCTGGAAGGCTATCAGACCAAGTTAAGCTTGGCGCAGACAGTCGCCTTCATCTCCCTGGTTTGGTCTGAGAACGTCCGGGCCTACATCTCCCGCTCTTTCACGAAACCGACGTGGCACGACCTCCTAGGCAACAGGGAGATGCAAAAGGCCATTGTCCTCGCACAGATCTGCTTGTATGGTGCTGTGTTGATCCCATATCTCTCCGACAGGATCCTAGGGCTGAGAGGTTTGGAAATCGGGGTCTTCGGCTGGGTTTTGGCTGCTACTGGCCCTGTGGGCTGCTTCATCCTCTCTGAGGGCTGCAAGGCCATCACCGCTTATCAGGCCAAGAGCTACCAGGAGTCCTTGGTCTCCGACATCTCTGAGCCTGAAGCGAGCCTGGCAAGCTCAGCTCCTGCCAAGGGTAAGGCGATGGAGTCGACAAAGCCCACCCAAACTCCCAACGGCACCTGCTGCTTGGCGTTTTGAAATTTTTTCGGCATAGTTTGGGCATGGCCTGATGGCCTGCACACCATGCGGCCTCCCTGCTGACTTTCAGTGCTCAGGGAGCTGCGCTGCCTTTGTTCTTCCGGCGAAGCCGTGACAGACGCCGTGGGTGCGTGAGTCGAATTGCCCTAAATCATGGTTTTCAAAAGAGGCCGGTGCTTTCTTCGGCAGCTTTCTAAGGGAAATTTAAAGGGTGAGCCCTTTGTGACTTCTCCCAACCCCTTATCAACAGGCTACAGTAAGGGAACAATCCTCGGCCACTAGAGGGGGCTTAATACTTAGAGTAGGGTTTCGGGGGGGGGGGGGGTTATTATAGTATATGCATAAAGGGACCATAAGATCATAATAATATAATATGTATTCCAACCCCTATATTAGGTTTCTAGGCTTGCTTGGTGAAGGCCGGGGTCTCCGTGGGCGTGGCAAATCTTGAAGCAACGGCTGCACGACAGGTTTAGGGGTTTAGGGGTTTCGGATTTAGGGTTTTAGGGTCCAAAAAAAGGGTTTTAGGGTATTTAGGGTACTTAGGGTATTTAGGGCATTTAGGGTATTTAGGGCATTTAGGGTATTTAGGGTACTTAGGGTATTTAGGGTATTTAGGGTATTAAGGTATTAAGGTATTTAGGGTAGTTAGGGTATTTAGGGTATTTAGGGTATTTAAGGGCATTTAAGGGTTTAGTTGGCATTCTGTAGCACCCTTTTGTCAGTTCGGGGTGTTTCGGGGGTTCAGAGCTTCGGAGTCCTGTGGAGACATCTTGCGCCGATATCGAGGCCCGAGACCCTTCCCGGCATCGATGCCGACCACTTGCATGGGCCCTCCTGGCTCCGAGTTTAGGGTTTAGGGTTTAGGGTTTAGGGTTTAGGGTTTAGGTTTGAGTTTGCATCAGGGAGGAGGGACCCCTTTCAGGTAGGGTTGTTTAGGGGGTTATTTAGGGGCTACTTCGGCATAATATAGGGACTCTATCAGGTTGTCGTGGCTTCAGCCTCGAAACCCCGGCTCTAGATTCCAGATTCCTTGGGGCCCTTCTCGTCGCTGTTTTTTCTGTCGTGTTTGGTTGTTTAAGGGGTATCGAAAATGCCCCATAGTTTGGCTCAGGACCAATTTAAGTGAACTGTTGCCTTGATGTGGCAGAACCCTGAAAGCCCGAAACCCGTTTGTGGCGTGCATGCTTAGGCACCCTGTAGAGATTTGTTCAATCCAATGTGTCAGACGGTCCGTGCCGAGTGGTTCGTTAGACAGTCCGTGCTGACTGGTTCGTCCAGCTATGCGGAGGGCGAAAATTCACCGTAAACCCTAAACCCCAACCTCAAACCCTAATAAACCCTAAACCGAACCCCTAAGCCCTAAACCCTAAACCCTAAACCCTCCAGGCGCCTGGGCTTAAAAGCCGATGGAACGCCAAAGGCGGCACCCATTCCGCTCCTCGGATCGGTCTTGTTGCAGTCCTTGACACCTTCGGAGGGCCAAATCAGGGGATTTCCGAAATTACGTAGGGTTTAGGGTTTTAGGGTTTTAGGGTTTAGAGTTTAGGGTTTAGGGCTTGGGTTTAGGGTTTAGGGTTTAGGGTTATTGGGGGTTCTTATAGCTCCTTGACATCTTGAGGGCCAAAGGAACAATGAAACGGGCATGAGTACGTTGTATGCACATGTTTATACCTATATGTGTTTATATTCATATATATATATATATATATATATATATTTATTATTTATTTATTTATTTATTTATTTATTTATTTATTTATTTATTTATTTATTTATTTATTTATTTATTTATTTATTTATTTATTTATTATTATATATATATATAGGTATGTAGACCTCTCTCTGTTTCATTTAATATCAGGCATATGTATACTGATTTTGATGAATATTGACATGGATCCTTGGCGGGTTTAGCGTTTTAGGGTGTTTCCTGGTTGAAAAAGTGTGCTTGGAGCTGCCTGGGAGAGAGGAGAGAGAGAGAGAGAGAGAGAGAGAGAGAGAGAGAGAGAGAGAGAGAGCGAGAGGGAGAGGGGGAGAGGGAGAGAGGGTGCTTCAAGAGGCCTGGAGGCGAAAAGGGGCTTGAAGGTCCTACTGGTAGCTTTGCAAGCAATTTTGTGTGGCGCCTTGGCGCCGGAACACGAACGGTTGAAGTTTGGGTCAGTTTGGTTTTGGCATTGTTTAGGGTGCCTCTTCACTCGCAGACACCCGACAACGTCTTTGGAGACTAGATGAGAAGATTGACTGGGCTTCAGGCGATTAGAGGACTATTCCCCCGACCATAAGATGGTCAACGCGATCATGCTCTGGGCAGTAGTGCTTGAAGCTCCTGGTTTTGCAGGAGGCTGAAGGGGTTTTGCCGAGACTGGAACTCGTAGTCAAGGGAGACACCTTTGGGGGCCTAATGAACACCAAAAGTGGATTCTATAACCCTACGTGACCATGATCCCTTGTAGGCATGAACCGTTTTTGAGATTCATGTAGTCCCCGGAATGCCGTGCAAAAGACCCAAACTTCCGCCTGTGAGGCTGCCTCCCAACGGTTTGACGGACGAGGCAAATGGGCTCCCCCAAGCATGTTCTCAGTAGAGGGCTTAAGGGTTTAGGGTTTTGGGGTTTAGGGGTTAGGGGTTTAGGGTTTGCCGTGAAGCAGAAAGGGGTTTAGGGTTTAGGCAAGAGGGTTTACAGGGTTTAGGGGTCTGTCGCCGATTTAGTGTCTCTGATGCGTGCATGCTTTTGTGCAGCTCAGCTTTGCTCTCCCATGAGTATAGGGTTGCGCCGGCAGTCCGCAAGTACCGGCTTCAAAAGGGTTGAGGGGTTAGGAGAGAAAATGGGGCAAAGGTTTGATTCAGCTCGTGGGACGGCGAGGGGGGGGGGGGGGGTAGAGACAACAAGAGATCCTGGGTGAAGTAACCATACAGGGCACTTGGGTAATGGAAGTGGAGTTAGTTTTTGTTTGGCTGACGCTCTCGTGAGATATCTGTTTCAGAAGTCATGGAAGAGAGTGTGGGAGTGGATTTTGAGTGTGAGTTGTTTTGGTTCACGGTTTTGTTTGATTGCTTGGTTTGCAGAGACCCCCTTTCCAGATGCATGCAAGGGTCCGCTTTAAAGTCTCTTCCTAGACGAGTCGACGAAGCTAAGCTTCGTTTGCATGTTTCTCCTTCGATTGTCAGCAGCGCGTGTGCCAGTTCCTGTAGTGTGTCGTACAGTCAGCTAGGCGGGTGGTACAACATCTCAGACCCTAAGCCCGAAGCGCTAAGCCCTAAGCCCTAA